CTACACAACTTTCTGTGGTACTACATTCTGAGCTTGGGCAATATTTCGCAATATTTGCACCCTCCTGACCGAATAGAGGTCAATATATATTACTAATATTCAGTACAGTTCTTCTAATTACTTGTGCCGATTCCTCTCACCGTTGTCCTTGACCATAACTGGAACCTCATGAAATTAACTAAATAATATATGAATACGTAAACACCTGTAAACATTTAAGTGTACCACCCACATTAGAGAACATACGACAATATAATTGGTATCAATGTAAAGGTCAACCACTCTTCTTGGATATACTGTCAACTTCTCGGGTCTATGTTGTTCAGGAGTAAATATATACGCCATCGAATACAAATTTTGTAATTTTTCACACAAAAGTCAGGGTCTATTTGACCGGCTAAATATTGACCGATCTTTATCAAAACAATCATGCTCACGATGTTTGGGCCATAACTGCGGCCTCTGGAGCGACCAGAAAATCAGACAAAAATTAAGTTTTTGGCCCATTTCACCCCGTAAATATTAACCGATATTTACCAAAAACAATAGGGGTCTTCATTGGCCAGAACCCATCCTACATGCAAAATTTCGTGAAGATTGGTCAATAATTGCGGCCTATATCGTGTATACAAATTTTAATGGACACACGGACAAGCGGACGGACACACATGTCTAGATCGACTCGTCGAGATATGACGATCGGTATACTTAAAGGTGGGTCTAGGACCAATATTTCGCGGCGTTACAAACTTTTGGGCCTGCATAAAGCTATAATACTCTGACAACATAGTTGTGTAGAATATAAAAAACAACTAAGAACAAGAAAAACGAGATCTTGAGCAAATCGAGATGAACAGGAGCCAGTACGAAGTCCGGAAATTTTACGAGTAAAACACCAAACGAGATGGCTTTGGTGCAGAAACATCCTCCTTTAGAGATGAAAAAGGAAACCTGGTGGCAGATACAGACAGCTTGTTGACAATTTTGAAGAAGCATTTTGCGAAGCTTCTGGCATCAAATAATGACGAAATACCCCAGAACCAATAAGAGATGATGGTATAGATTGTATACCACCTAGCCAAAATGAGGTCAGAATAGCAATTAATCGGCTGAAGAATAATAAATCAGCAGGTGCCGATGGATTACCAGCCGAACTATTTAAGGCCGGCGGTCAGACGCTGATCGGGAGCATGTACCAACTGATTAGTACAATTTGGCTAGAGGAATGCATACCCAATGATTGGAATCTCAGCACCCTATGTCACGTGCACAAAAAATGAGGCAAGACGATATGTGTCAAATATAGAGGAATTAGTCTGTTTCACATCGCATATAAAGTGCTTTCCAGCGTGCTGTGTAAACGACTGAAGCCAATGGTTAATGACTTCCACAGACCAGATTTTCACACTGCGCCAAATCCAGGAAAAACCCACGCATTCGACAGGCTAATCAGCTCAGAGGTGTTTAAAGCCATGTCTGTGTTTGACATTCCTACAAAATTAATTCGGCTATGGAGAATAAGTTCAAATGGCACAAGGTCATCAGTTAAAGTCGGAAAGGACCTCTCGGAGCCCTTCAATACCGAATGAGGATTCAGATGAGGTGACAGTTTGTCGTGTGACCTGTTTAGCATCCTGCTGGAAAAGGTCATACGAGATGCAAATGACACTCTGTACACCAAACAGCATATGTTACTCGCCTACGCCGACGACATCGACATAATGGGTCGAACATAACGAACGGTACCAGCCCAACGAATTGGGCAGGAGTCTGTCATAATGGGACCAACTGTGGAACTTGAAAACTACAGCTTTGAGGTAGTGAATGATTTTATATACATCGGTATCGCCATAAGCAAAACTAATATCATCAGCTTTGAAATCCGGAGAAGAATAGTATTGGCCAACAGATGCTGCTATGGTCTGAGTAAGCAATTCAAGAACAATATCACCTCTCGGTAGACTAACCTCACACTATATAGTACCCTGATTCTACCCGTGCTGTTGTATGGATCTTAAGCATGGGTACTTGTGCAAGCAGATGAGGCAGCTCTTGGAGTGTTTGAGAGAATACTTCTCCGGAAGATCTATGGGCCGATCTGCGTCGACGGTGAATTTCGCCGTCGAAGCTGTACCATCTATTCTCGGACATCGACATGGTTAGGTGTGTTGTGAGAATGGATGAGGATGCCCTATGGATGAGGATGAACATTGTCTTTCAAATTGGATAAGGTGCGCACAATACCGACGAGCCTGGAAATCTCTTTTAAGCTCGCTTATGGAAGGCTTATGGAAGTAAATAAGTAAAGTAGAAAGATTCTCTATCACATTGCATTAAAGACTATGGGGGAACGCTTAGGTCTCATACCAGTTGTAGTTTTGGAGGAGAGAGCCGCACTGTATTCTCCTAACCACAATTTTTTTAACATAACCTAAATTCTGGGACACAATTTTTTGTAACATAACTTTGGCTAAAGTGAGCCTGAGAAACGACTACCGACTTTACTGCAATGAAACAGGAAACATTTGAATCTAAGCGTGGATAAGTGTGTATGTAGAGGAACTCAGAAAATCACTTTTTAAACCCTTAAGCCGAATTTACTTTGTGAAAAAACATGTCTAACCTTCATCACTCTGTCATCCTAACTCCGATTCAAATACAAAAAAATATATTACATGATTTTTGCCCCGAGTCAAAATACAATTACGATGAGTTATATTTATTATCTTCATAACATTTAACGTTTCTTCATTTGAATCATTTTAGCCAATGGCATTGGTTGGACACGAACATCAATGCCATCGATACCATAATAATCAGTAGAATCCGAACATGGTTGACAACCACAGGCCGATGGAATTTCCAATTGTTTAGAGATCTTTGTGCCATCTTCACAGGTCAACTCAACCGAAATGGATTTGTATGATTTAATGTTGCAACAGTGGCAAATCTTGTCTTGCATTAGAGTTTCTGTCGGTGAGAGAGAGGAAGGAAATGTTAGCTATAAAGTTCTCTGAAAATTCGAAGAGAATTATCTTACCTCTGTTATATTTCGAACCGGAGTTACAGGAACCCATACATTCAGTGAAGCCTTGAATTGGTTTCTCATTAATGCAAATACCATGGCCCATGGCATTGACCTTAACCAAGTTACGGGTCTCCGATTCGGCCAAGGAAACGGGCAGACAATCAGCTACAAGAGGGATAAAAAAAAAGTTATGGTGTAGGGTTAAAAGCTTGTTTTTGAATTTAAATGTTCAACTTACTTTGATCTTCCGGCTTGGGTACTTCTTTACATATCTTACAACAGCTGTCTTCCTGATCCATCAACAAATGTTCCGGACAACTGCTAACATCTGGACATGTTTCCCTTACCGAGCTGACAATCAAACTATTACCCTTTTCGATACAGGCAAATGTGGTACAACTATCTTCCGATTTCCATTCCTGCTGAGGTTCATACAACTGACCATCCAAGACACACTGGGTCTGGACACATTCACCACAACATTTACTCAAATCCTTACGACGATATTCAAAACCAGGACCACATTTAGTATCACATTTCACTTGGGTGGTAAGCAATTTGGCAGTATCATGTGGACCATAGGTACATTGTAGAATATTGCATGGATCTTTAGGATCAGTCCATATATCGGTAATCTTCTTAGTGTATTTCTGATTAGGACCATCTTCAACAATACAAACATCCTTGGGTGGAGCACAATAATAGATGGGACAGCAGTCATTGGGTTCATGTTTCGTGAAGACTTCATAGAATTCTTCAATACAGAATTCAGGTTTCTTGGGACATTGAGAAATGTCGCATACAATTTTCTGTGTCGGGCAACAGCCAGCTTCCTCCTTAACCAATTTTTCACCAGGTTTCAGAGCCGAAGGTTCGGTCAGAGGTTCACATTCTTCTTTGGGTTTGCATTCTGAAACGAAGATAATCGAAATAGGGTGAAAAAATGTTCGAATATTCTGTTAAGAGGGCTTTCAAGTTTGAGGAAAACAATTCAAAACTCTACGAATTTTGTGCGGAAAATATGACCAAAAGCCTCAAAATAGCTAAAATGTATTGTTCGTTCTATGTTCAGTCTTGTAGATCCATACGTTTCAAAAGACGGCGATCTGAAAATGCCTGAAACCCCAAATCTAGATAAATTAAATATCATCTTCATATACTCACCACAAATATACTGAGGACAACCATCCGGTCCGGTCTTAACCTTCTTAAACTGGCCAGGACCACAAATGGGCATCAATGGTGCCAAACAGTCCTCACGTGGTGGCTGTTTGGGTTCCTGGACACATGTGTAGCGTGGACAACATTGATCCTCCGTGTTGGCTATCTTCTGCTGGACAAATCCTTCGGCACAGATATTCTCTTCGACCAAACATTTACGTTCCATACATTGAGTTTTACCCTGTTTATCACACAAACATTCGGTACATTTATCCTTTTGCCATCTCTCGCCAGGCATACGTTCAGGATCTTCACATTTTACACACAGCTCCTCGCTAATACATTTACCATTCTCCATTACTTTGTGTGGTGGACAGAAGCAACCCTCATAACGTTCACTGGGTGAACACATATCATCGGTATCCAGGGTATTAACCATGGTATTGGTATTAATGTTGACAGCTTGGAATTCATTGAGGCGTTCCAAGGTATCACAGGTCTTGGTGCAGCCACACGACTCATAATGCATATCAGATGGACAATCATATGGACACAAATTGGGGCTACGCCAGTCCAAGCATATTCCATGTTTGGCACATTCCTTGGCATAGGCAGCCAACGATTCGCAGGAACCCTTTTGATCATTACCCGGTTTACACAAATCCTGTTGGCATGTGGATATGTAAGGCAGTGGGTCCACAATCATATTACATTTACCAAAGATATTATCATGGAACAACAACATGCAAGGATCTTTCTCTGGTGACAATGGTAAGCATTCATCTTCCTTGTGAGTCTCACTCAAACACTCATCTGCATCTACCCCCAATTTAGGTTCATCGGCCTTCCATGAATCAATGACATCGACCAATTCTTTGCCAATCTTTTTACCTCCCTTCTTCTTCTTTTTGGCGGGATTTGGTTGCAAATCATTATTGGGATTACCATCACAATCACCGCATAAACCTTCCAATTTACCACCATATTTGACACTCGGCACACCAAGAGAGAATTTCAAATCATCAAAGTCAGCCTTAAATTCAACTTGGGCTTCAGTTAAACTGAGTACCAGTTCCTTGCCGGGTATATCCTTCAAATTAATCCATGTGTCCTTATATGGTAATTTCTTAACACTGAAGCCATCGACAATGGCCTGCAATTGCTTTGATTTCTTTGGATCACGTTGTATATGTATCAGATGATCGCCATTAAGGATGTGCAGCGATTTGGCACAGCTTGCATGTTCGGGAGCGTTGAGTTTACCCAATTTACGACAATCCTCCATGTTGACATAGACCTACATGGTGAAATAGAAGTTTATAGTTGAGTAATGTGGCGTAGTGCAGCGGATAGCGTGCCAGGCTACAAAGCGATGGGTCCTGGGTTCGAATGTCCGCGAATTTTATTTTGGGGTTTGGGTGGAAGCTGCTGGTTCAACATGAAAATTGTAAATGAAACAAAACAAATTGTATGCGTAATTCCCTGGATGCTATACCTAAACAGGGACCAATATAGATAACTTCATGTAGGAATTACCGAATATTTGGAGATATCATTATATTAGGTGCTATGCCTAATTGAGGAGCGATAGAGCTCAATTTCGAACGTAATATTTTTGCATCACAAGACATTCCTTAATGCTTAATATAAAAAATAACGAAAATTCGTAGGTATCATCATATGGGGCTAGATTTCAATGCGGACAGATACATTTCATTGTGGAACCTGACGATCTACCTTAATTCGTTTAGAGGCTAGATAGACTGATATTCTTAAATCATACAATTTTACGCTGATCAAGAATAGGGTCGGAAATGATTATTTCAATGAGTTACAAGTGGAAAAACAAACATAATATACCCTTTAAACAATGGGTATGGTTATAGCAAGGATACCCTCCTACCATTCACAATTGTACTGGATGAAATATTGAATGAAGTCTCCTCTCAGAAAAGATGCATAACATAGAGTCTTTCACAAGAGTTCAAAGATTTAAAATATTCTGGCCGAACACTATAAATAATGTAGAGCTGTGGAACATAACGAACCAGGAACCCATAAAAATGTGAGCTAAACGAAAAAAAAAAATGGATTGGTCACACCTTAAGAAAAAATGTCCATAGCACATCCAGAATGGTTTTGAATAGAATCCCCAAGGATCAAGAAATCGAGGTCGACCAAAAAACACTTGGCGGCGAACAACAGAACTAAGACAAGACAGGGGAAGATGCAAAAACAACGATAAGATATGACGTAAGATGACGGTGCTATGCTCCAAAAAAGAGTAACAAGCAAAATGCAGAGGATCTCCTAAATACAGAAAAGATGCTGAGAGAATCCTCTATGTAGCAGAGTTCCAAAAGAGTATTCAGGAAAATGTGTATAAAATCGATTCTGCTATATGACAAAAGTTACAGGTATTCATCAACAGATGCCTCAGGATCATATGCAAAATATTCCGGCCCAACAGTTTCTTATGCTGTAGAGAGGTGTAACCTATCGAACTAGGAACCCATACAAAATTAGATTAAGGGAACCCCACCCATTCTCGATTTTAATTTTTCAAGATTTTCAATGGGCTGGCTAATCAATACCAATGCTTCTTAAGTTTTGTAACTTTGCACATATATATTTGAAGATTTAAAAAAGAAGAAAAATAATTTACAAAAAATTTTTGTTGTTGCTTTGTTGTTGTTTTTTGTAATTAAAGAAAAGTCCTTATTTTTGATGGCGGGCATGATAACTCCTCACTGGATCATCGGAATCCGAAAATTCCAACGGTGTTAGAAAGAGTACATGTCTGGCTCTCGTATGAACTAGGATTATTGACTTCGCTCTAAAATTAACAAAATGGCGGACCTTTGAAAAAATATTTTTGAAAAATCGCCAAATTTTGACCAAAAACCAAGTTAAAAAATAAGGAAGATCTACATCGATTGGCTTTATCCTAGTTCATATGATAGCTATACACTCACAGAGAAACGTGTAAAAATTTGTAATCGATTGGGTTATTAGTTTTTGAGTTATCGTGCCCGCCATTCGCAAAAGAGAAAAATGCGTTCAAAGTTTGAGAAGCCCTTTAGCCGTCACTTGATGCTGACACAATAAATTGGCTATATCTTCAAGAGTTCTGGAGATTTTCACTTGAATCGAATTTAATCAAAAAAAAATTTTGACCCCGAGAATGGGGGGGTCCCCTTAAACGAAGGAATTGGAGATGAATTGGCCACACTTTAGGAAAAAATGTCCATAGCATATCGAGAATAGCTCCTGAATGGGATCCACAAGGTTGAATAACTCGAAGTCGACCATGAAACACGTGGTGGAGAACATTAATTCAAGAAGTAAAATAAAATGATTGCATTATGGAAGCTCTATGCTCTCAAAATGAGTAACAGAAAAAATTCAGAGGATCTCCTACCTATAGAAAAACTGCCGACAGGATCCTCTCAATAGCAGAGTTCCAGAAGATTTATAAAATTATTTCTGCCATGGAATGCCTCCTGCATAATGTAAGGTGGGCGAAGAAAGGCTATGGGTCGACCTCTGTCCATATAACAACAACAAAAGAGTTTCTGGAGGTTTTCCTGAAGAAGTTCAACTGTCTATAAAAAACACTTCTCTATTTCAGTACACAGAATACTTGCGGAGAAAGGTCGTTTGAAAATGTTTGCTGATAATATGCTATGCTACAAAGTGACGTTTTTCTGTCTATAGATGAATTTCAGATCTTGTTCTGGCTACACAACAACTTCTGAAGGTCTGTTGGAGGTATTTATCTGATGAAAAATCTCTGCATACAAAAACCCTGAAAGGAAGTTCATCTAACTATAGAAAAGTTAGCGAGGGTTCCTTGTCAATAGAATTGCGGATGAAGATATTTATACCCTTCACCACACTGTGGTACAGGGTATTATGTCTTTGTGCATATGTTTGTAACAGGTAAAAGGAACCGAGATAGACACATGGTTCCTTTTGAGAATATGCATAGAATCACTTTCTTAGTCGATTTACGCATGTCCGTCCGTCCATGTATTTTTGTGTACAAAGTACAGGTCGCATTTATTATCCGATTTGGATGAAATTTAGCGTATATCACTTATTTGGCGCAAGGACGAACCCTATTGAAATTAGGAAAAATCGGTTCAGATTTAGATATAGCTCCCATATATATTTTCGTCCGATTTAATGTAAATGGTGCACCAAAGTCCCTATATATCTCTCGATTTGCACGAAATTTGGCACAGCGTAATGAATTAGGTATAGAATGATGTGTGTTAAGTTTCCTGAAAATCGGTTCAGATTTAGATATAGCTCCCATATATATTTTCGGCCGATTTAATGTAAATGGTGCACCAAAGTCCCTGAAAATCATTTGATTTGCACGCATTTTTACATAGTGTATTGAATTAAGTCTAGAATGACGTGTGCTAAGTTTCGTGAAAATCGGCTTAGATTTAGATATAGCTCCCATATATAGTATCACCCGATTTTATGTAAATGGTGCATCAAAGTCCCTATATATCTTTCGATTTGCACGAAATTTGGTATGGCCTACTGAATTGGGTCTAGAATGATGTGTGCTAAGTTTCGTGAAAATCGGTTCAGATTAGATACAGCTTCGCCCGATTTTAGGTAAATGGTGCACCAAAGTCCCTGAAAATCATTTGATTTGCACGAATTTTGGCATAGCGTATTGAATTAAGTCTAGAAAGACGTGTGCTAAGTTTCGTGAAAATCGTTTTAGATTTAGATACAGCTCCCATATATAGTTTCGCCCGAATTTAGGAAAATGGTGCACCAAATCTTTTGATTGGCAAGAATATGGGCATTGCGTACTAAATTAAGTCTAGAATGATGTGTACACCTCCTATAAATATTTTCGTCATCTTTAAGTAAATTGTGCACTAAAGATACATAGCTTGGCCGATTGACACAACGTACTGTAGTTAATTTAAATAACCTCGGGCAGGTTTGCTTGAAATCGATAGTTTCCATATAAAATTTCGACTTATTTATGTTAATTGTACACCAAATAATCAATGGGTGTCTGATTGAGATTAAATTTTGAACAGTGCAGCGACGTCTTTTCGGATATATATGTAGAATATACCTAAAGTGGTGAAGGGTATCATATAGTCGCCCCAGTCCGACTTTGCTACTTTCCTTACTGGGTTTTTCTTCTAGATTTGACTTATGAGCTGTCGTAATTCTTCTGTCAAGAAGAGATGTTGATCGTCTCCTGACGATACAACACTTGGCAAAGTTTTATTAGATGACTTTTGTTTGAGGAGGTATGTAGGTGTATATAAGAAGCCCTTAAGGTACTTAGTCTATAAAAGAGCTGCTGTCCGCCTTCTGCCCATAAAAAGTAAGAAAATTTTTCTAACTATAAAAGAGTTACAGAGAGTCCCTAGTCAATTGAAGTGCGGATGAAGATATTTTGTCCATAAAAGTGAAGAGCCGTTGAAGGTATTTTTGCCTATTTTTGCCTGTAAAATCCATTAAGGACCTTTTATATATAGGAGGACATTTTCATATTATCCACTTTACACAACAACTTACCTGGAAGGTATGAACACCGGGCAGGACAATATCACGCGACAACAAATAAGTACAATTGCCATTGAATTTGAATTCTCTACGATCATAGGTGAAATATTTCTTGGCTCCTATTGTATCGCAGACGCAATCCTTACACTCGGAAATGGGGACACAAGTTTCACCCTTGCGTACAGTACCCTCAGGACAATAACAACCCGAAAAGCAAACATCCGATATGACGGGACAATCATCGGTATTCAAAGTATCACATGAAGGTTCGCAGCGACGCTTATAACAATCCGAGTGGACAAATGGTGCAGGGCAGGCAATTTCTGTAAACAAATAAATTAGAAATTAAGACATTTTTTGATTATTTGGTTCGCTTATTTAACTTACCACATTGATGTTTGGCTCTCCAGGTATCCAATTTCACATTGGGACTAACAGAAAGACATTGTTTGACATAATCCTCCATTAGATTGCAGCGACATTTCTTTACATCACCATTGTGGACCCGCAAGCATTCACAAGTTGTCTCAATACATTTACTGGCGAATTGTTTGTAGCTAACAGATTTCTTGCAATTGATGAATTCATCAAACCTACGCGAAAAAATAGAACATCAAAAAATGTAGATTCACAAATCTACCTCTTCTCTCTCTTTCCCCTCTCCTAATACTCACTTAATGGAATTACACAATGTCAATGCTTGTGTACGCATTTTCAATGGACATGTCTGTGGATAACATTGATCCTTGGGTGTTTTGTTGTCAAACCAGCTGTCACCAAATTTAGCTGTATTCGTCAATAGCGTACCATCGGGCGAACGTTTATCATTGCTAGCATTACCATCATAGTAACCACACAGACCATCAACAGTTTTGATGAATTTCGAAGAAATACCAATGCGTATATAGCCAATATCATCATAACGAACCCAGAAACCATGTTCGGATGAGACCACCATAACCGTGTCACCAACTTGTGACACGATAAACGAAGCCTTACAAATCGGCGAGTTAATCAGTTGCTGTACCGTATAATCGAAACCATTGAAATTTAAACGTTTACGGGGTTTCACAATCAATGTGGCATCACGAACGGTATCCTTAATGGTTATGGTCTTACGACATACTTTGCGGGTTTCATCCGTACACTCCAGGTGAACTGAAAGATACGAGAATGGGAAGATGTCATAAAACTTGTAGAAAATATTATATTTTTGCAAAAACAAAAATATTATATAAGGCCCATGAGACCGATACACGATCTTCTGCATACAAAATATCGATAAGGACCTGATAAGCTGAATGGTATCGGTAACCCTCATAGTTGAAAGCCCAAGCTAATTTATTTGCCCAAATTTATAAATCCATAAATAATCGAGGGCAATCAGTGGGTCTTGGGGAGACGCTAAGTGTCGAGGTGAAATTGGTGCCCCTTAGAAATCTATTTTCGAACGAAGAATTGTTAAGCATATCAACAACTTGTTCTGACTTAGCTGTCTAGTCCTTGCCATAGTAAGAAGCTATGTCAATATGTGTTTGGTAAGATGCATTAATACTGTTGTGCCTAAAGAGAATTCTAATAAAGATGCACACATGTTCCCGTTAACCAGGGCGTAAGCAAAGTCCAAGGCACGACGGCATGGGCTCGACGCCAGCATAGCCACTAGCAGCATCCTAGAATCTGCAACCGAGAGTTTAGAAGGAAGAGAAAGGCCGGACTTGGGATGGGTGAATAAAGTACTGACAACGCAATTAACAACGTCACAAGAAATACCGGAGAGATATTCACGAATAAGGAGGGAAGGAATGGTGAGTGTACAAGTAGTTTAACAAGTGATTTATAACCAAGTCGACGAAAAGATCCGTCGTGAGCCTTTATTCAAAGACATAAAGAGCCATCGTGGGCCTTTATAGAAAAGTGTTTTAACCGTGAGGCCTACATAGAAAACAGTATGAGTGACCGTGAAGTTAAGGATCCGTGTGGTACCGAATTTCAAATTCAGCACTACAGCGCATCTAAGAGTTTCGAGGAGTGGGTAACATATTTGCGAAATTATGATCGGGACATCGTGGAATAATTGAGAAAGCGTTTTGCCAAGGTCCTGAGCGAGGAGCACGACCAAAAATGTCTCAAAAAGCTACTGATTCTAAGTCAAAGCACGAACAACAACAACTGTAAACGAAGTCAACAAAATGCTGACCCGCTTTCAGGTGATATGACTGCCTTGGCAGCCTCGGTCTTAACTTTTCTAAGTGCAACTCCCTACTTCTATCCCTAGTGATATTGATTTGATATCTCCAACTCCACCATTCTTGAGGACATCAGTGCGTACCTGTATTTAATTGAGAAAGCTGAAACTTCCTGTCCTAGTGAAGAGATTGGGATGATTTTCCCTTGACGGTCAACGATCATGTCAGGTGCCTACCCGGTGCCGATGATCTTCCCTTTGAAACAATGGATGATTCATCAGCACAATGTACCACAATCTATGGTTTCAATACTAAGAAAGCACCAACAGGATGATCTACCAGAGTGCGATAAACTTTTGTAAGTGATTTATCGAGCTAACTCTACTACACACCTTTCTACTATCTGTGGGATGACACCACCCGAACTCAAGATGTCTGTTGGATGTATTTATCTGATGAAAAATCCGCATACAAAAACCGTGAAAGTCGTCCGTCCACAGAAAGCTGCTGACCACAACAACTGCTGAACGTCTGTTGGAGGTATTTATCTGATGAAAAATCTCTGCTGCCAAATATGGCAGGGGAAAACGACGATAGGCGATTGAAAAAATTATAATTCATCAGTGCAATAAACCACCAATTGAGTCAATGACGAGAATGCATTCCACAAGAAGATCTTCTGGAGCACGATAAACTTCTGAAAGCGGTTAATCGAATGAGACTGATATATCATAACGGGCAAGGAATTCTTTCAATTCAAGAGGAATCTAAAGAGTAGCCTAAGTACGACTGGCAGAATGTGCTCGATCAGGAGCTTCGAGAGCGTCCCTGATTGATATCATCCACTATCAAATTTAGTCCGGAATCTCTAATCAATCAGGAGGTCCCTGAATAAGACCATGTGTATCCCATCACCCACAAAAAGTATCAATGACGTGGAAGCACCCAACAAGAAGATCTACCGGAGAACGATAAACTTCTGAAAATGGTTCTTCGATTGGAACTGAAATATCTAAATGGTAGTCTAAGTACGACTGGGAAAATTTAGGCAACAATCTCTAATCAATTGAGAAATTCGAGGGCATCCGTAAATGATACCATCCACCACTGCAAAGGAAGGTAAGGGCGTGACTAGGTTGTTCAGAAGGAGATGGCGTAAATGGGGCTCTACACAGTGCTCATCGAAGAAAATCAATTACGTGGAATCATTCTTCGAATGAAACTGAATGTCTAAAAGGCAGCCAAATACGACTGAGAAAATGTAGTCAACAATCTCTAATCAATCGAGAGATTGGAGGGCATCCGAAAATTATACCATACACCACTGCAAAGGAAGGTAAGGGTGGGTCTAGGTTGTTCAGAAGGAGAGGGCGTAAAAGGCTCTACAATGGGCTCATCGAAGAAAATCCAAAGAACGAAAGGTAAAGACGTGTCTTGGTCGTTCAGAAGGAGTGTCCGTAAAAAGAGTTTCAATTATATGAAGCCCAAGGACAGAGCGAAGGAAGGTAATGACGTGTTTATGTCGTTCAGAAGTTGAAGAAATTGAAGCATTAAAATGAACTCTTCAAAGAATATCTAAATCCAAAGAAAGGATGATAAAAGCGTGTCTAGGTCGTCCAGAAGGAGAGCCCGTAAAAATAGTTCTAAAAAGGCAACCCCAATCATAGGAGGCCCATTGGAAAAAGATATTTGAAAAATATATTCAGGAATCTATAATTAATCAAAAACTTTAAGGAGGTCCCGGAATAATGCCATATACCAGAAGGAAGGTAAGGACGTGTCTACGTCGTCCAGAAGTTAATAGGCTTTACAAAGGCGTATACGTATGAACATAGCCGTGTGGCTAACCAAATCCAAAGAAAGAACGGTAAAGTTGTGGCTAGGTCGTTCAGGAGAAGAGCTCGTAAAAATAGTTCTAGAGGAAGGAATCGGAGGAAGCCCAAGTAAGACTGGGAAATGTTGTAAGGGATCTCCTATCAATCAGCACCTTCTGCACGGGAATATACATATGAACCCAACCGTGTTGATCCAAACCCAAAGAAAGAAAGGGAATGGCAGGTATGGTCGCTCAGAAAGAGAACCCATAAAAATAGTTTCAGAAGGCCATCCCAATCTGAGGAAGCACAAATTCGACTGGAAAAACTTAGTCAGATATCTCAAATTAATCAGGGCCTTCGAGGAGATCTCAAAATAAAGACATCTACTAGTACAAAGGAAGGTAAGGTCGAATGTATATCGTTCAGAAGTTGTGGGTTCATATGAACCCAACCTCGTGGATCTTCGAAAACGATAAAGCTAGTCATGTGAAAATTGGATTTTACACCACAATTTCTCTGCCTAAGATCTTCGAAGTAATTCGAAAAAATCATTGTGCACCATGACAATGCGAACTTTTACAACTAGGCTCAAAGCATCGTAATTTTGATCGGCTAAAACGCCTTGAATTGGTATTCAAAGACATCTTTTTATTACGGCACATCAGGAAAAATGCAGAGTCAGCGATTTTTTTTTTTTTTTTTTTTTTTTGACAGAAGATTCTGTTGAAGCTTTGTTTTCGATATGTTTTAATGGGATGGAAAAAGGGCTTCTATAATATGCATATGCAGAGTACTATGTTAATACTGAAGAGTACTTTGACAATTTTTTGATGATAATAGCCCTTGTTGAATAGCGATCTACATACATCGATTTGAAATTATGTAAAAAATTGAATATGTGTTATAACCTCTTACCTGATATTATCCAAGACGAATTCAATAAATCTCGAGCCAAAATATGACTACATGTCTCATAATTGAATTCGGTACCATCGAAAGTTTTAAAGATTTTTCCGCTAATTTCACAGAAATCATCTTTGCTAGGCTTCAAGACGCATGTATAGGGTGGACAATCGCCAGGCTTAGTCGAAGACATATCCAATTCGACAACATAGTTTTCTGGGCATACAGGTGGTGGACAAGATTTGGTAACATTTTTCTGCACAACAACTTCTTTAATCGGAACACATGTGAATTCAGCACAATCCTCCTCCTTGACAATTTCCAATTCATGTGATGGACGTTCCAAGAATTCCTCCGATGAAGTGATAACTTTAGTCTTTGTGACTTTGCCGTCTTCATCACGCTTAACTGTGACCTTTTTGGTGAAACTAAATCGGTGAAAGTTAGAGAGAAAGGTTGAGTGAGAGATTAATGATGGGATGTCAAATTGGGATTTTATTACGAGAGAGACTTACGTGGAAGAGAACATGCTGGACATTTTCCTTTGTTTCTTTTCAGTGATTTTCATCTTCATTTTGGGTGGACACTCAGGCACGGGACAGCTAATGACTTCCTCTAAAATTGTGAGAATAAATTTGAATATAAAACCCTAATAGATTCGGAATGCATAAAAACTGGTATTCTTACTTTCTGTAATTGTCACATTGGGTTTATTATTAACATGTATGACATTCGAACAGGTGGCATCTTCATCATCGGCACAATCCTTAATACCATTACACCACAAAGTCTCAGCAATACAATCACCACTGGAAGGACACAACTTCTGATGTTTGGGACAAGGTGCACACTTACAATAGCAACCAGTTCCGACAATGGGACGTTGATCGGGTTCCTTGCATGGTGGACACTTCTTGGGTTTGCAGCTGCTATGGCCACCCAAAACACAAGTACATTCTTCGCAAAGTTTATTCTCAAAGGACGAACCAATGGGATAGCTAAAACAAACAGGGAAATCGGGGATAAGAGAAAAATTGGATCATTTGACGTTTATTATACTCACGGTATATAGTTCTCCACACAGGGACACATATTGCTGTGCACACATTTATTGCCATCCCAGAAGAGGTTATCCTTACACTTGCAATTGCCATCTGTGGTGGAGGAGTCAACAATACCCTCGCAAACCAAACATTTGCTTGGTTTTGGTGTTTCAACTTCGACAATATTTTCATTGATGATGGCTGGAAAAAATGTCAAATAATTAGGAAATTTCTCCAAATCGTTTCCACCATGAACTTACGATATTTCTCGAAACAGCCCAAAGGTTCCACACGCATATTAATATTATGTTCATATTTAGCGGGCACCAATTTAATATATTGTGTCAAAATCGGTGTCTTAAAGTAATTTGTCTGTTCCGTATCCTTATCATGATTACCGGGGAATATGCGCGGTAGACCATCAACATCTAATACCTTATTCCATACTAATTTATCCTTGGAGAACATAACTTTGTAGCCCGTTACCCAACCATCTGGACCACCTTTGGTGATGAAACCGGAAATGTTACGTGGCTCCAAGAAATCAAATGCAACATATTCATTAGGTGTATTCAGAGCTGGACGCCAACCAACCGGTGAGGATAGTTTCAATAAATCTATCAGCCTTGGTTTCTTAGCCGGTTTGGGTAAACGCCACACTGTACTGGCCTCCACTTGCTTCGGACTCATTTCATTATTTTCTACACCCATTTTATCCTTGCATTCGATTCCATCTTCATCGTGAATGGGATGTTCGGTGAAGGGTGTAGTCTGTGGTTTCAAGGTGGTAACTTCGGCATGGTTGCAACCCAAAAGTTCAACACGGATTGCAATGGAGTTGTGCCATTTGAGAGGATAAATTTTCAAAGATTTCGCCTCAATGGGAATTTTGAAGAGTGTCTTGGCCGGGGTACGTGGATCTTGTGGACCATTAAATAATTGTGGTTTATCCGTTTCATCGGTAAGGGCGTGATATGCTACACCATCGTGACTATAATATACCTGAAAGGGGATGCAATAAAAAATAAGAATGTGAATTACAGATCACAAGGTGGAGTCAAACTTAAATGTTGACATTCTGTTTGCGATACCTTGAAATATTCGTAAGAAAGGTCTCTTACGAATATTTCATATGGTTAGAGTGAAATTTTTTCTCGCTTTAACCTTATTCGACTGTCTGTTGAAATTAAGATAGAGTTGGAAATATTTGAAAATTTGCACCTACATCGCTCCTAGAATGTTTAGTATTGAATATGGGATACATAGGACCATGTGTTGGTAAAACTCGAATCTACTGTTTAAGGGTTAAACAGCATTTTCAAAACAAATATGTTGAAATTTAGCATTTGGAGCGCAAAATACATTCCAGCAGAAAATTATCAATATAGAAGTTCATAACTTACCCTCCATATTAAAGCCCCAATTTTCGCTATATTTAATGTTTTAAGCTCAATTACCATGTAATTGGACTGTAATTATTTATCGCTGAGCAGTTTCAATTTCGGTACATGATTTCGACAATGATTTCACATAAGTGTTCCGCCCCAATTTTCGATACTTTAACAATATTAGACAAAATTATCACCTGTATTTTAGCATTCGTAAAATAAGTTCAAGAATTCAGAAAATACTCAATATTGGTCTATTTCTTGGTATAGCCTTCATTTTAGTCACAATTGCCATTTAACCTAATTTTCCAACAGTAGTCGCTTTATATTTTGCATTTTGGTTTCTCAAAGGATCCCCATAGAAAATATTAATAAAGGGCCTTGTTTTCCACAGAGATCCCGCATAAAGTTCGCCGTTTTTGACAGATCTAGGCACATTTTCCAAACAATGTTTCTATAAATTAGGCATTTCCGATTTTTTGGAGGATAATATATCACTTGGCAGAAAATTTTCAGAGGCGCGGATTGAAAAACAAACAGTAAGGAAAAATTTCATACCCTTCTTTACTTTGGGTAAATACAAGAGATGCTCATTCATACAATATCCTTTCGATAGAACAGACATTTCATCTTTGGAGGACCATTGGAATCGGGCAAAATTAAATGTGTGAACTACGAATATATTTGAACTAATTTAAAGCAACCATAGGCAATCCAGCATAATTATGTATGGAAGCTATATCTAAATCTGAACTGAATTCAATAAACCTCAATAGAAAACATTGTAGACAAAATGTGCATAAAATCGAACGAAAATATAAATGGGAGCTATATCTAAATCTGACCCGATGTTTACAAAACTTAATACACATCGCACTAGACTGAATTATGTATCGAATGACGTGTGTTAAATTCCGTGAATATCGGTTCAGATTTAGAAGTAGCTCCCATCAGCAACGTACACAGGATTTCATTTCGGGGTGGGGCCCGGTTGTACAAAAAAAAAAATCGCTGTTGCAAACATAAATTTACTGTGAAAAAAATTCATTTCGGGTGGGGTCTCCCCGGGCCGCCCCCCTTCTTACGTCCATGGCCATATATATTTTCGTACGATTCAATGTAAATAAAGCATAAAAGTTCCTATATATCATTTGTCACTATGCCAAATTATGTCTAGAATGACGTGTATTACATTTCTTGAATATCGGTTCATATTTAGTTAGTTCAGATTTAGATATAGCTCCATTATATCTTTTCTTCCGATTTTATGTAAATTGTGCATCAAACTCGTAATGTTTATCCGATTGACACGAAAATTTGCACAACGTATAAAATTGGGACTAGAATGGCGTTTTGTTGAAAATGGTGCAGATGCAGACATAGCTCCGATTTATGCAGATGCAGACATAGCTCCGGGTGTCTGATTGGGAATAAATTTTGAACAGTGCGGCTTACTGAATAACGGTACCAAGTTTTGATTTAAATCAATTAGTCCCATTGCACGCAAACCACTCTAAATCTGCCCGAATGAGATGAAATTTAGCATAGGTTGCAGAAACGCATGTTTATGGATTGATGTTGTCGGTTCACTTCTAGATAAAGATCGCATATTTAAATTCATTTAATTTCATGTGAATGTTCCTTCGAAGGAACACTGACATGAAATTGTTAGGATACGTATGTGAAATATACCCAAAGTCGTGAAGGGTATCATATTGTCGGCCCAGTTCGACTTTACTACTTTCCTTACTGGTTAAAAAATATTTTTCCAAGGATCAACTAAACTGGGGATTAGTAGTGTTGGCGGGTTATTTGGGATACCATTTGTATTTTGTTTTTGCAAAATAGTCAGGCTTAATCCCAGTTTGTTGTTTTTATAAAAACAGAATATAAGGAATATTTTATCAAAAGCTATGACAGGCGTGTATTGAACAGTTTTTTTTCAAAAATCAATAAAGGCATTCATTTCACAGAATATTTTTTCAGGACCAAGAGATGCGAGGATGTTTTAGTAATAAAGAGTATTTTTTTAGGGACCAACACAGATTTATTTTAAAGAAAGTTTTTTTAAAAGGACCAACTAAGTCGTAGATTTTTAAAGAATATTTTTTTAATATCCAACAAAGGCGTGTATATTTTACGAATATTTTTTTAAGGATCACTAACGTCGTGGATTGTTAAGGAATATTTTTTTTTTCAAACCCCAACAAAGGCGTGTATATTTTACGAATATTTTTTAAAGGACCACCAACGTCGTGGATTGTTAAGGAATAATTTTTTTTCAAACCCCAACAAAGGCGTAAATCGAAAACAATTATTGCATGTCTGAAATGTTGTAATTCGGTTTTCCAGACGATAAGATGCCTTCTGCTTGGAAAACATTCTGACATTTTTCCTCTGTTAGGTTAGATGGTTCTGCCGAGGTTGGTTATTAGAATGTCAAGTCTGGCCAATGCACATTTTTCAAGGATTTGTAGAGCATCCTGATAAAATGTTTTCAATATGGATCCATTATTGGACAAAGCTGTCATATTAGAGTTTGACCGATTTTTGGTATTTATATGAACATTTCCCAACCCATTTGGCTCGGTTCGAATTATCTGAAGATAAAGAATGTCCTGGCAGAAATGTTTCAATATATGTCTACATATTTTCACATAGTCATTATGTAAGTGTTCCAATGCCCGCATTTTCCAAACCAAATACCTTCATACATCGTTCCTCAAGAAAAAGAATATCTCTTTTCAATGTTTTTTCATGGTGGAGGGTCCAGTCTAAAAGTCTCTGTAGCAAAAAGACCTCCTGAGAGCTCATATATAGGAACATTTTTTGAGGCATTTAACATATTTAATGGTATTGAATACACAGATCGTTAAATGAGTCTTCCCTGCAAAGAACCTAAGGAGGGGCTTCTACAGGTAGAAATCCTTCTCAGGGTTTTGTGTACAAAGAAGATCTCTCAATAGACTACTATATGTAGATCTTCTTTTAATGGGACTTATATACATAGAGTACCTCTTGAACATAGAACACATCTTCAGACTAATTTTGGTATCTTCTATACATAGATTAACTTTTGAGGGCATTGAAATGATTCTTCTCATAGAAGTATTTTAGTTTGGAATATAATACAAAAAAATAATTCGATCATAATGTTTCGGAACCCCTTTTAACAATTTAAAATGCCCAAACCTAAAGTCGATGATAATTTTTAACCAATTGGATGACATCAGAATGTTTTTGAAACAATTAGATAATGTCGGATAATATTTCTGAAGCAACTGGGTAATAATATTTTCTTTGATCGGATAATAGATCCACGTGGCGACATTATCTTCTTCTTCTTCTCTTTGACTTACCTTGAACAATGTCACATAATTATCAAAATCGGGACTGCCGGCCATAACAACACCATACAATGGTTCAGGATGAGGCAAATCAATTTCCAAATATTGATTTTGATCATTGATCATGGGAGACCAAGCGCCTGTCTTCTCCAAATGGCTATCCGTAAGACGAGCAAATTCGGGAACATACTTGGGACCCAATGAAGTACTGGCCTTGAAAATGGAATCTGGCAATGGTTCATCACCATCAATGACAGGAACCATACTGAAATGTAAAATTTAAAATGTTATGTAAAATTTAGATCCGAAGAAATGTTTTCAAAAATTCTTCGTGAACTTACAATTCAGGATTACACTTCTTGGGTGGTGAAACTGTAACAGGAAAGACGGTAACACCCTCTGGTTCTGGCTCTGATGGTGGTTCTGTGGGGACTTCCTCAATTCTATTGGGCAAACATGTATAGGCATTATCCAAACACTGACAAACTTCCCATTCTCCCACAAATGGCATATGAGGCTGGACATATTTTTCCGTTTTATCCATGCAAGGACAAGCATCAGCCTCAACACAAGTGTTTTCATCACGCCAATATTTACCATCAGGGCATTCAGGGCGACTGGCGGGGACACAGCCAGGTTTGCAGAGTTCACCCTCTTTGCAGAGGCCACGTTTAATTAGGACCTAAAAGCAAAAAAGTTACTATTAAATAAATTCCATTGAAGACTGGGCATCCATCTTACCATTCCATAATAGTGACAGCTACGTTCACATTGATTGGCACATTCCGACCATACTTGACCAGGTGGACATTGTGAGGGAGGTATTACCTCTCCTGGCCTATCATCACACATTGGTTTCAATTCTTGCACAGTGCTAATGTGATCGCAAATATTCATAATGGGATTAAACATCATCGTATCGCCACAGGTCTTTTCGACATAATGCCAGCTGCCATCGGTTTTCGGTTGACAATGCAAGAATTTATGACAATCTCCAGGATATTCCTTATATTCCGCAATCACACTATCACAAGCCAAGCCAATTTCGGGTTTCTCAGTAGGTTTGGGTGTGATCGTAGGCTCAGCATCACATTGACAGAACACACGAATCTCATAGTCGTGACAATTACCCACACAATTTAGACCATTTTGTAGATTGCAGAAAACATTTTCATTCATAATGTCAGACGACTCATGGGTACCCACCACTCGGCATTCGATCTTGGTCATAAATTCTTTTTTACATGTACCATAAATACTTTCGGAATGATTATAATGTGGTAATTTTTCACTGTCATCCAAACGGATGACATTATTCGAATGATAGGGATCCTCATCGAACCAACGGGTCCAACCCTTAATGCACTTGGGTTGCTCCTCGGTCTTAAGTGGTGCAGCTGTGGTTCCCTCAATAACAACTGGTTTTTCTGTAACAACCTCTTCGACACATTTAACACCACTACAGATTTCCTTCTTCTTTGAACAGCGACATGTCGAACAGTCATCCTGATATGTGATATCCCCCTCATAGAAGGTCTTCCCATCCTTGAGCATACAAACTGGTTTACATTGCGATTTTGGTACACATTCCTTATAGGTGTCGTTCAAATAGATGAAACCCTCCTCGCATGGTTTGATTTGACAACCTTCAATGCAATTTTCTTTCTTACACATCTGTTCACCACTCTGCATCAGGAAGTTGTCACAGGTTTCAACAGGGCAAGCCGAGGTACATGACTTGTATTCGGAGCAATGGGAATCGCATTGCATGGCTGCGAAAAAGAGAAAATAAATAAATTGCATAAAGCTAGGAGAAAAGAGAGAGGTAATGAAGTGAGATAGAATGGGAAAAGCTAAGGATCTTCTAGGCTATAGAAGAGCTGAAGGTCATCTAGGCTATATAAGTGCTAAAAGTGATGTAGTTCTTCTAGGCTATAACAGTGATGAAGTTCTTTAAGGCCATAGAAGAGCTGAAGGTCTTCTAGGCTATAAAAGTGATGAAGTTCTTTAAGGCTATAGAAGAGCTGAAGGTCTTCTTGGCTATAGTAGAAGAGCTGAAGGTCTTCTGGGCTATAGTAGAAGACCTGAAGGTCTTCGTGGCTATAGTAGAAGAGCTGAAGGTCTTCTTGGCTATAGAAGTGCTAGTCCATAGAATGGCTGGATGTCTTCTAGCCCATAGAATAACTGAAAGTCTTCTAATCTATAGAAGAAGTGAATGTTTTCTAGCCTATATAAGAGCTGATCTTTTCCTTTGAGGACTCACATAAACGAGATATTTTTAAAGTATCTTGCTCGTAAAAACCTTAGTGGGCCTAGGATTCACCGATTATAGTTTAATAAGTTCTTCTTGGCTATAGAAGAGCTGAAGGTCTTCTAGGCTATAGAAGAGCTGAAGGTCTTCTAGGCTATAGAAGAGCTGAAGTTCTTCTAGGCTATAGAAGAGCTAGTCCATGGAATAGCTGGACGTCTTCTAGACCTTAGAATAACTGAAAGTCTTCTAGTCTTTAGAAGTGAATGTCTGTAGCCTATATAAGAGCTGATCCTTTCCTTTGAGGGTTCACAGAAAGGAGACAGTGAAAGTATCTTGCACGTAAAAACCTTAGCGGTCCTGGATACACAGACTGTCGTTAAATAGCCTTCTACACTGCTGACCTTTTGCGGGTTTCTATACAACAGGATCCACTGAGGTATTCTACATAGAAGATCGTTTGAGATATTCCATACATATAAGGCCTCAGGAGGTACATTTATCCATAGAAGTACCTCTTGAGGTACAGTATTTTTCGGTTAACTGCACATCAAAATTTGCACAAATTTTTGTTCAATTAACCGAGGAACCAATTATCCGAACCCGCTTACAATGAAATGAAATATTTTTGACCCATCATGAGGTTCAATTAAGCGTGGAAACCAATTAACCGTAGGTTCAATTAACCGAAAAATACTGTACCTCAGAAGACTGCCTTTGTCGACATTTGCCCTCCAACTGTAATCATGCTCATCAAAAAACATTGACCAAATCAGGCATCACCAGGTAAGCCTAACATTCAACCGAACCCATCTTTACTATCTAATTATTTTCCTTTAAAAGTTAATATCCCAATTATCGTATGCCCTGCTTCTGTCAAATTAATTTGTCAACATTGGAAAATAACCCTGACCCATCCTTATAACTGATTTCCTCTATGTATCCTTAAAGGATTATCCGACATGTCACACAAATATTTTAAAATCAATTTTTCCCATTGTCAATTTACTGCCAGTCTTCAATAAAAATCCTTGTTACTGAATTCCTGCAAACACACATGCACATATTTGCTAAAGAAAAAAAAACGAAAAGAGAAAATCCGAGCACAAAAAAAAGAAACTCGAACATAATCCACAAATTACACTTCCTTTCGAAGCAAAAATTTAACTTAATGACAAATTTCCGAAGGACTCAACCATTATCCCATACATCAACATCCTGCCATAGATGTTGCTGCTGCAACAATTTTGAATAGCCTGAAAACCTTTGCCAATAAGGAATTAAGTCAACAAGCTAAATGGTTGGTTGGTTTGCTTTCAGCTCATACTCCAGCAGTCGTTATGTCGTCGTCGACGTCGTGACAAATCTCTAATAGCCACAATAACGATTATAAGATTATACAAATCAACTAATGTTCGTTCCATGAATAGCCTCCACCACCCGCCACCCCAAAAGCCAATACCGAAAAAAAGTCTTTAAGGATCTATTAAAGCCATAAGAGACCCTTGAAAATTTCAGTGTCGTCTCATTGTTGTCGTCATGTTGAACAAAAGCGTTACGGATGAACGGACGGACGGACGAATGAAAATGTACGTACGTACGAGCGAACGCCAATCAAGTCATGTATGTCGCTTGTAATGCATTACTCCATTTTTACCTATGCATGTGAAGTGAATAAATGAGTGACTATACACTTCGAGTTGGGTATAACCATGTGTGAATTCTTACTACACAGATGCTGCTGATATGCCCCATCCTAAGTTTGTCAAGTAGTCATTGGATAGAGTTGGTGCTGGGGAGAGTGTGTGTGTGATATAAAAATCCACTGCCAGTAGAATGACAATGGCAACATATTGAACAATGTGCCCGAACAATCTTTTGGTAATTTTGTTCTCCACATTTGGTTTCCATTGAAGATTGAGGGGGCTTCGAGAAGGTTTGGATTCTTTGTCGAAGTGTGGATTGGTATGATATTTTGGGAAATAAGGGGTCTTATATTCATAGAAGACTTCTTAATGATAGAAAAGGTTTAAAGATATGAAACGCTTTATAGTGTCTCCTAAGTAGAGAATGATCCATGAGTTACTCTATTTGAAGAGCAATGATTCACGGAAGGAATTTCTACCGGCCTTAAAAGAGACATCGTAATTTGTAGATGGGTCCGTTGTTGGCATACGAAAATGTATAGGGGATGTTACATTCTTCTATATTTCTGCGTTATGTGGTAGTACCGAATACCGAAAAAGTGTGGAACTTCTATATGGAGATTATATATAACATGGAGAATTTTCCTCGAAAACTTTTTTTACCTTCCAATGGGGGAATCATACAAAAACCTACAAAATATGGAGTCTATGTCAACACATTGATTTAAATGCCGATCATTGGGGTGTAGTGTAGAGCCCGAATACACTCCAAAATGACTATTGAAACACGTTGGATCTCTTCAGACCCATAGAACTCTTCAAGAGGCTTCTGATAGGTAGAAGATACCTTATAGAATATAAGTAATATTTTAGCCATTTCTGGCTCTGAAGAGAATAGGTACAGTTGAAAATTGTAAGTAAACATGCTTTCTATAGGTATAATATATATGAAAGGTGTATTCTGTAAAAACGTGACACTAATAGGGGTATTCTGAAAGGAAATGGCTCCCAATATAGTCCTATTTATTTAAGGATTTTCAATATCTAGATGACCTCTCAAGGATTTCCTATTCCATAAATGATAAGTTGTGAAGGACTTTCTGGGTATGAAACCTGAAACGATCCTCGATAAATGATAAGTGGAAGGTGTGAATGACTTCCTCCTTAAGAGGTCCATATAGCTAAAACAGGAAAAGATCCATTACCCAGTATAAAAACCTCCCTTACTTAACCGATATCTTAAGTGCCTCCTGTACCTAAACATATATTCTTTGGGAGGTCCTTCTGTGTATACTCCGTAGTCAGAAAATATTCTGAAATTATTATCTTGATAGCCCTCTATAAATGGAATACCTCTTTAACATATTTCATAAATGTATGACCTTTGAGGTTTCTCTGCATAAAGATAAACAAATATAAGAAGCACACTCAGGTGCATATAGACGACATCTTAGGGATCTTCTACAAGTAAAACACCTTTCCAATAGGGTCTTCTGAACACGGTTTACATTACATCGACATCTTAGTGATCTACAAGTAAAACACCTTTCCATGAGTGTCTTCTAAACACGGATTACCTCTTAAACACATTACTTCCATAGAAAACATCTTAAGGGCTCTCCATAAATATAATACGTATTTGGATATTTAGTACATATAGGACCACCGAGGAATCTCTATAAATAGAGGACATGTTAAAGGGCCTTGAAGGTCTCATTGAACCTTGTGTGCCTAAGAAAATATCTTGAGGGTCTTTATGATATTAAAGAGTTTTAAGGTTTCTCTACATAAAGATAATTTAAACATTTGTATTCAATCCCCAGCCGATCTCTCTTATACATGAAATACCTTTTCAGGTGATTTCGAACATAGAGTACCTTTTAAGGGCATTCCTTAGTCAAAATACCTTCTTAGAATATTATAAAGCAAGAAAAACATTTTAAGTGTCCAGTATAAATGAATACCTCTTTTTACCTCATACATGTATGACTTTTGAGGAACCTCTAGGTATGGAGGACATCTTGTCTTTCATACATTTAGGACTTTTGAGTAACTTCAAAGTATAGAGGGCACCTTGAAGGACCTTTATGACCTCTGAAGAAAATTTCTTAACCAAAAGACCTCCTTAGAGCAATATAGAAATGGGATCCTCTATAAATATAATACCTCTTTAGGGGTTTTCATACATTTAGGACTTTTTAGGATCCTCTATTGAAAGATAACTTAAACCTATAAGAAGTCCCCTTATGTATATTCAATTTCCAGTTTATATCTTAAGGGTCTGCTATTTATAAGGGTGACTTCTCTAAATATTTGCCACCAGTAAAGGGCCTTATAAATGCAGATTTCACCTTATGAGAAACCTAGAGACAAAAAAATTCTTCGCCCTACCTTTTTATGACATTCCTTAGCCAAAGACTTATCGAGAATATTATATATCCTGATTTGATTTCAATCACACACGTGTTCGAAATAAATATGGGAACTATGGCTGCATCTGTACCAATTTCAACAAAACGCAATAACGTCATTTGATACGTAGTGCAAAATTTCGTGTTACTTGGAAAAACATTAGAAGTTTGGAGAGCTATTAATGTAAAATCGGACGAATATATATGAATATGTGCGAGCTATATAGAAATCTGAACCGATCCTAAATTTACCTCACAACATTCTAAACACAATTCAGTTCGCTGTAACAAATTTCGTGCAAATTCAGGAATATGTAAGGACTTTGGTGCAACATTTACATAAAGTAGGACGAAAATATATGGGAGCTATATCTAAATCTGAACCGATTTTCACGAATCTTAACACACATCACTATAGACTTAATTCAGTATACTATGCAAAATTTCGTGCAAATCGAAATATATATAGGCACTTTGGTGCACCATTTACCTTAAATCGGACGAAAATATATATGGGAACTATAGCTAAATCTGAAACGATTTTTACGAAACTTAATACACAAAACTGTGGAATCAATTCAGTACGCTATGCCAAATTTCGTTCGGATATATAGGGACTTTGGTGCACTATTTACCTAAAATCGGACGAACATATGTATGGGAGCTGTATCTAATTCTAAACCGATTTTCAAGAAAATTAATACACACCATTCTAGACTCAATTTAGAACGTTATATAGGGACTTTGGTGCACTATATATATAAAATCGGACGAAACTATATGTGGGAGCTATAACTAAATCTGAAACGATTTTCAAGAAACTTGCCACTTATCACTATAGACTCAATTCAGTACGTTATGCCAAATTTCGTGCAAATCGAAGGATATATAGGGAAATTGGTGCACTATTTAACTAAAATCGGACGAAAATATATATAAGAGCTATATCTAAATCTGAGCCGATTTTCACGAAACTAAACACACATCATTTAGACTCACTTCAGTACGCTATTCCAAATTTCATGCAAATCGAAAAATATATATAGGTACTTTGGTGCAATATTTACCTTTAATCGGACGAAAATATATATTGAATCTATATCTAAATCTGAACCGATTTTTCCCAATTTTAATAGGATTCGTCCTTGGGCCGAATAAGTGATCTGTTCCACATTTCATCCAATTCGAATTTTAAATGCGACCAGTTTACAATTTTCTTTACAATTTAACATGGACAGACGGACGGACATGTATAAATCGACTTAAAAAGTGATTCTGTGCACATTCTCAAAAGGAACCATGTGTCTATCTCGTTTCCTTTAGCCTGTTACAAACATATGCACAAAGACAAAATAACATGTACCTCAGTGTGGTGAAGGGTATAAAAATCAAGTTAGCGTTTCCTATCCATGTAATGGTTCTTGAGACCTCGATTGAGCTATTCTATGAATTCATTTAAAGAATGATCTATACATAAAAGACCTCATGATGATATTGTATACATGTAACACTTTTTTGAGATTCTCCAACGCACTTAATACCTAATGTAGTGTTTTAAATACAGAAGATCTCTCAATGATATCGTATGGATAGGAGACTTCTTGATCATCATTTATAACTAAAAACAAATATAAAATTAACGTTTACTAATTATGTAATTTTCCTTGATACTTGTATACCTAGAACATGTCTGGAGTATATTCCCGACATGGAAGATCCCTTTGAGGGTTCAGGATATCCCTCGACGACTTCCTTGTATCCCCAGAATACTTTTCCGGGATCCTCTATACCTATCCTCGCTTCTCAGTACCTATAAAATATAAAAATTTACCTCTTGAAGGTTATATTTTATAAATCGCAGATAGCTTGTGGGTCATCTACACATAGTGAAACCTTTTGAATGGCATCTAAAGTAATTGTCCACTCTTTCACATAGTCCTCTTAGAAGTCTTCTATTTACAATATACTTCTTAAAGCGTGTTCTATAAATCTTCTCCTTCTTTTTCTTTACTTATCACACGACCTTCGTCCAAAAAGGAAATTATTATATTTTTACTTCAGTATTTTCCTTTTTTGCCCTATCGATTGGTACAATGAACATATGAAGTGTACGACAAGTATGTGACGATTTTCCATAATGAATAATTGAAAACAATAGTTGAACACAGAAACACACTCGCACACACACACACACACACACTCACACATACATGTCTTGAATAAAATCATCACCAAAAGTCCTTAACAACAAAACATCAACGACAAGACTTCAAATTGTAACTGAAGTGGATAGTAAAGCTGTTCAATATGAAGATGAGTGTGGTACACAGTACGAAGAGTAACAGCTTTGAGGTTAGAGGTAAATGCTGTCCTGTGTAGCAGAAGTGTCTCTTTAGACATTCCAACGTTGAAATCGCATGCAACATGTTTTTGCTGTGAGTATACAACAATAAAAAGGACATATAGTTAACCAGTAAGGAAAGTAGTAAAGTCGGACGGGGCCGACTATATGATACCCTTCACCACTATGGGTATATATAAAATATGTGATATTTATCTAAATGTGAATCTACCTAGATCTATCCATAAACATGTCATTCGTTTGTTACAATGGGACAAAAGTATGTAAATCGACTTCAAACAAATATAAATAGGTCATCCGTTGAGCTATATCTGTAATTCTAGAAAACGCAACTACGTAATTCTATGCTCAATTTTGTAAGTTGTGCAAAATTTGATGTCAATCTGACTAACATGAGCAGTTTGATGCCCAATTTACTTGAAATCGGGCGAAAATATATATGGAAGCTCTATCCAAATATTAAGCGATCTCAAACAAACTTGTCACAGGTTAGGTTATACTAATTTCAGAAAGTTTTGTTCCTATTGGTTCCTTGGTGCGTCAATTACTTAAAATCAATTTATAATAAAAGGGAGCTGTATCTAAATCTATGCCGATTTTCACGAAACTTGGCAGACATCACTCTATGCTTAATTCAATACGTTATGCCAAATTTCGTGCAAATCGAATGATATATAGGGACTTTGGGGCACCATTTACATGAAATCGGACGAAACTATATATGGGAGCTATATCTAAATCTGGACTTGGCAGACATCATTCTAGGCTCAAGTCAGTACGTTATGCCGAATTTCGTGCAAATCGAAGGATATATAGGGACTTTGGTGCACCATTTACATGAAATCGGGCGATACTATATATGGGAGCTATATCTAAATCTGGACCGATATTCTCGAAACTTGGCAGACATCACTCTAGGCTTAATTCAATACGTTATGCCAAATTTCGTGCAAATCGAAAGATATACAGGGACTTTGGTGCACCATTTACATGAAATCGGACGAAACTATATATGGGAGCTATATCTAAATCTTGACCGATTTTCACGAAACTTGGCAGACATCATTCTAGACCTAAATGATTAGGCTGTACCAAATTTCGTGCAAATGAAAGATATATAGGGACCGTTTACATTAAATCGGTTAAATATATATATGGGAGCTATATCTAAATCTGAACCGATTTTTCCCAATTTCAATAGGGTTCGTCCTTGGGCCAACCAAATGAGCTGTGCCAAATTTCATCCAATTCGGATCACAAATGCGACCTGTACTTTGCTCACAAAAATACATGGACAGACGAACGGACGGACATGCATAAATCGACTTAGAAAGTGATTCTATGCATATTCTCAAAAGGAACCATGTGTCTATCTTGTGCAAGTGTACGCGAGTGTGTGTGTGAGGATATATTCCCATATGAGTTAACTTTAAAAAATTATTTCTTTGCTCCATCAGTAAAATTTATGTGTTAGTGTGTGTGTTTCTCTTTCCCTGAATCAATGAAGAGTAAATCGTTATAAATGAGTATCGAATGGAGTATGGCTGAATGTACGTTTAATATCCTTCCGCCAGAACTTGTACTTACGACAGAAGTGTGGTGTACGCCATCTAATCTGTATGCCCTTTTGCGAACAGGCATGAGCATAGGCTGCAACAGCTGTACAAAGACATTCACAATCGCCACCTTGATCACAGGCACAGGTATCGAATATGCAACGTTTCAAGTATTTTTCAACAGGCACTTCAGAATGGCAGTCCTATAGTATCAACGACAGCGGCGGCATATATCATTCAGCAGGCGAGCATACCATACATATATGGTCCAAAGAAGCACAATTGCACAGTGCAGCAGTACAAAATGGTGGTCACGAAAATGGCATCAGCAAAGATGTTTCACATATGTATAGGTTGGTGTTGGTTGTGCCAGTCAGCAAGATGAGTGGTGGTAAAAGAAGATGATGAAAAAAAAAAAAAATGAAAAAGAAGAAAACAAAGAATTTTAATTACATTACATTCCAAATTCTACACCCACCTTGACAATGAATGAATTTGAATTGTCAAGACGGGTATTTTTAAAGCTTCTGCAGATTATGAAGGTGGTAGGGAATATAACAATGAATTTTTAATATTCGTTAATGCCAACAAGGACAGATGTTAGAAAGGAAGTCATTTGTGTTCCATAGTTATTTGGAGTGTAATAAAAATTAACTTTATTGCTTAATTGTATAAAAATCATTCAGGTTGGGAGGACGATAGTCAACACGATTTGTATTGGCAATATGTCTAACAATATAATCGATATTGATATGTGTGTCCGACCAACTGTTTGGTCACTACATTTTTTTGAGGTTCAACTGTATGTAGAATACCTATTGAAGATTCTTGTGAAATCCTGTATACATGAAAGACTTCTTGAAAATGTTCTATATACAGAATTACTCTAAATTGTCTTCACTACAAAGATGGCCTCTTAAGGATCTTCTATAAACAGAAGACCTATTAAGGATATACTTTTATACATAGAAGAACTCTTTTAGGCCTTGCAAGCATATATTGAGTACATAGACGGACTCTTGAGTGTGCTCTATACCTCTAGGGATCTTCTATGCACGGTAGACCTATTGTGGATATACTTTTAAACATAGAAGACCCTTTTGAGACCTTCTAAGCAAGTATTAAGTACATAAGCGACCTCTTGAGGGTTATCTATATCAGGGTCGCCCAGAGGAGCGTTTTTACACCCTTTTTCACACAAATTAATCTTAAAACCAGTAAGGAAAGTAGTAAAGTCGGACGGGACCGACTATATGATACAATTTTACTCACATCATTCTATAATAAATTCAGTACGATACGCCAAATTTCGTGCAAATCTAAGGATATATAACGACTTGAGTACACCATTTATATTGAATGGGTCGAACATATTTCTGGGACCTATGTCTAAATCTGAACCGATTTTCAAGAAATTTTACACACATCATTCTAGACCCAATTCATTACGCTATGCCAAATTTCATGGAAATTGAATGAAATATAGGGGCTTTGGTGAACCATTTACCTAAAATCGGCCGAAACTATATATGGGAGCTACATCTAAATCTGAACTGATTTTCGCGAAACTTAATACACATCATTCAAGACTTAGTTCAGTACGCTATGCCAAATTTCGTGCAAATCGAATGATTTTCAGGGACTTTGATGCACCATTTACCTAAAATCGGGCGAAACTATATATGGAAGCTTTATCTAAATCTGACCCGATTTTTCTCAATTTCAATATATCGTTCTTGGGCCAAATAAGTGACCTATGCCAAATTTCATCCAATTCTGATCATAAATGCGACCTGTACACTGTTTACAATTTAACATGGACAGACCGACGGACGGTCATGCATAAATCGACTTAGAAAGTGATTCTATGTATATTCTCAAAAGGATATCTTTTGCCTGTTACAAACATATGCACAAAGACATAATACCCTGTGCCACAGTGTGGTGACGGCTCAGATTTAGATATAGCTCCATATATATTTTCGTCCGATTTTAGGTAAAAAGTGCACCCAAGTCCCTATATATCCTTCGATTTGCACGAAATTTGGCACAGGGGATTGAATTAAGTCTAGAACGATGTGTGTTAAATTTCGTGCAAATCGGTTCAGATTTAGATATAGCTCCCATATATATTTTTGTCCGATTTTATGTAAATGGTGCAACAGAGACCCTATATATCCTTCGATAACTGAATTAAGTCCAGAAAGATGAATTTTAAATTTCGTGAAACTCTGTTCAGATTTAAATATAGCTACCATATATATTTTCGTCCGATTTTATGTAAATGGTGCACCAAAGTCCCTATATATCCTTCGATTTGCACGAAATTTGGATTTATAAGTTAATGAAGAACTCAAAATATGGCCGAATGCAAAAACATACTGAAATAAGTGTATCCTAACATGTGACAAGATTTGATGAAATCGGTTTAGATTTCGATATTTTGCTTTAAATTTATTTACATAATTTTGTCCCATTGTAAGAATCAACTCTATATCTGACCAAAATTTAGTATAGGTTGCAGAATGACATGTTTAATTTCATGTTAATAGTCCTTCAAAAATGCGACGTCTGTTAGGATTCCATCTGTTGAATATTCCCAAAGTGGTGAAGGGTATCATATAGTCGGCCCCGTCCGACTTTACTACTCTCCTTACTGGTTTGGGTTGTAATTGGGTGTTCAATTTCTTCTACAACTGTAAACCACTAAACGGTGTTTTGAGGATTTCAGACTTCTTTTTCAATTCACACACGTAATTTTCCGTATTTTCACGTAGTTTTCCGTATTTGTTCAACCTGAGTGTCAGTATTTTTTCCTGGAAGTCACGATTGAATTTAAGTATTTCGATTGCCACCTCATAGTGAAGTTCGGTCCGACCGAACTTAACGACTTTTTTACTTGTTATATGTAAAACTGAATATTTCAAAATCTATCACAACATTGAAGAAGGCAACTTAAATTGACTGATATATACGCAGAATGTGATTTTAAATGACTTATATACCTCGAAAGCTCTCAATCTATAATAAAAATTAATCATATAGCTTACAAAAGTGCGAAAAGTCGTTTAAGAGACATATAGCATATACCTTAAGTAGTATTATATAGGTTTATTGCGCTTCAATAAATCTTCAACCGACAGAAGGTGTATTAAAAGGTTTTCAATACTTTCTACTATATCTGGAAAAATGGTCTTTAAGGCGACCTAGTGACAATTCAAGGCACCCTCCATTGTTCTTATATCCATTTTCCATTCACTTCCAATTTCATTAAATTTCACTTACCTTAAAATGATCCGATTTCAAGATACCACATTTCAATTGAGCCCACGTCTCACGTTCGGGATGTTGTTTGCAGGCATCAATCGGTATCGTTGGCATAGCACAATACTGTTGCACCTTCCACGAATGGCCAAAAGTCAAAGGACTTGTTTCCAGCGCTTGTGACGGTGTTTGCATATCATCCATGGCATTGTCATTGTAATTGCCACACAGGCCGCTAACTTTGTTCTTCCATTCATTGCCCAATTTCACATAGACACGGGTACCTTCATCCCATTTAATTTGTAAATGCAAAGGTAGCACTTCGACCACAATAAAGACGCCGGCCTTGTAGACATTAAAGGCACTATGGGATTTGGAGTTAATGGTGTCGCGGATTTCTGAGAAACGCCAAAGAAATTAATAATTTTTTAATGAAAAAGAAATATGGACTTACTATTTATGGTCGATCTATTTGGTATATCCAAATACGAAGCATCACTGGCCAATATCAATGTATCCTGAACACTACCGGTCAATGCAATTTCCACAGATTTTGAACAGGTAACACCCATTGTGCCGCACAGCACATTCTGTATGGTAATGGTAAAGCCATCACCATTACTGGCCACACCCTTTGAGAGGACATAATCACAGGCTCCTTGGAAATCAAAGTCATGCTGATCAAATGTAGTGAAATGCGAATCACCCCATACCGAACATGTGGATTCACAGCCATTCGATGAACATTTCCAATTACCAGCTTGACACACACTAAACAACAACAAAGAGAAAAACAACAACAAAATTCAGAATGATTTGATAACGGAGCAGGACGTTTTATATTAAATGTCTTGGGCTTTAGAGATGAAAAGCGAAAATACTCACCATGTATTACAATCTTCTTTCATTTGTTCGCCGTCACTATAACTCTTGCCGCCATGATGACAGGAACATTTTTCGGGTAAAACGCACATTTTCAAAGCGGTGTCATACACATAGCCCTCCATGCACTGACAGCCAGGCACACATTCATCCAAATCGGCCTTGTATTCGTGCATGTTTTTGCAAGTCTTCGGTTCCTTGGCCACACATTTGGTGAATTCAGCATAGGGGCGGCTGGCACATTCAGCCCGCAACTCAGAGGAGGGTGGATATTTCTTCTCATCATCGGGTTCGGCTTCTTCACATTCCCACAGACCATTGATGCAGGTACACAAATCCAAGAATTTTGAACCAGGTCTCACTTCCTTATAGCCAGGGCGGAATGTCATGCCATCATAGGTACAGTGGCATTTACTCTGAGGTACACACTCATTCTGATCGTTCAAATATTCGCCATGAGGACAGCGACAACCTTCAACACATTCCTTGGCACAGGTATCCTTGGTCTCCAAATCTTCACAGGTCAGGGCACAGCTGTCACCACATTCTTCATAAATTTGTCCCAATGGACATTTCACAGCACATTCCTTGACGGCCATGCGCCAGCCGGTCTTAATACCCTGACGCATACATTCCGCTCCATAGGCCGAAAGAATGGGACAGAAACATTTGGCCGGTTCCTCCTTACAGGCACACACATCATACAAGCAATCTTCATAGAACTTTTCGGTATCCACAGTCCAGTGACAATCTTGGAAAATATCATCCAAAAGCCAGGCGCAATATTTCTCAGCCTCCTTCTTTTTATTGGGATGGGCGGTGCAGGGATGAGGATTTATCGAAGTGTGCCCCAAATAATCGCAAGTATCCTTGGTACGCCATTTATCGGCAAATGCCTCAACGGCAGTTTCAATATCACCCTCCGGTGTTAGGAAATCATCTTGGGTATTCGAATTGAAGGTACCACAGAGACCCGAAGTTTTTTCCCTATACGAAGGTGGAGCATCAATATAGACTCGCGAAACACCATCCCACCATATGCGAATACCATCAGGGAATTCAACTGTCATAAACGAGGAACTCACTTTACGTATCAAAACCTCGCGGTCACCCAAAACTTTAGGATATTTCATTTGTTCCTTGGCATTGACGAATGCCACCAGACCTTGATCCAATTTAATTGTGGTAGGGATGCCATTCTTCAGGACATATTTCACTGTAACCGATTTGGTGCACGAAGGATTTTCTGCAGCCTCAAAACTCAAATTTTCCGATATAGCTCCCGAGCAGGCAACATTCTCGGCCTCCACGGAAAGGTTCAAAGTCTTCAGTAGATAATATGAACATTTACCCATAAAATCGAAACGTTTACCATCGAATGTCTGATAATGAGGATCTCCAATGGCACCACAACGAGCACCACACAATTTATCTGTACATTCCCATTGACCACTCTTACAGGTACAGGTGTTACATTGTTTCTTAATGGTGGTATCCGGTTTAAATTCACGGTCACGCATATTACAGGGACACAATTCGGGAGTGATACAGGCATCCTTGTATTGTACAGTGCCTTCGGGACAGAAACAACCTTCGTTGCATTTACCCTTGGTGGGGGTAACGGCGGATTCGCAGGTGGGTTCTACATCAGGACCGCAGGGCAGATAGACGCGACCAAAACCGCAACTAATGGCTGTAATTAAACAAAAGGGTGGAAGGGGATTATTTTTCAATTCAGGGTTTCGTTGAATTTCGAAAAAAATATTCTTAAAAAATCCCTGCCATCGGTGGATCCCAAAAAATAATTTTTAAAAATAATTAGAAATTTTTAAAAAATCCTTGCCTTTGGAATGCTCTAAAAAATATTCCCTTTAAAAATCCACGCCTTTGAGGATTCGAAAAATTATTCTTTAAAAAATCCATTTATTTGGAGGAAAAATTATTCTTTAAAAAATCCATAATAGAAAAATTATTCTTTAAAAATCCACGCCTTTGGAGGATGACTACGCCTTTTTAAAAAATCCACGCCTTTGGAGGATGCCTTGAAAAAATATTCTTTAAAAAATCCACGCCTTTGGAGGATCCTGAAAAATTATTCTTTAAAAAATCCACGCCTTTGGAGGATGCCTGAAAAATTATTCTTTAAAAAATCCACGCCTTTGGAGGATGACTCGAAAAATTATTCTTTAAAAAATCCACGCCTTTGGAGGATGACTCTAAAAATTATTCTTTAAAAAATCCACGCCTTTGGAGGATCCTCGAAAAATTATTCTTTAAAAAATCCACGCCTTTGGAGGATGACTCGAAAAATTATTCTTTAAAAAATCCACGCCTTTGGAGGATGACTCGAAAAATTATTCTTTAAAAAATCCACGCCTTATATTATCCTCGAAAAATTATTCTTTAAAAAATCCACGCCTTATATAATCCTCGAAAAATTATTCTTTAAAAAATCCACGCCTTTGGAGGATGACTCGAAAAATTATTCTTTAAAAAATCCACGCCTTTGGAGGATGACTCGAAAAATTATTCTTTAAAAAATCCACGCCTTTGGAGGATGACTCGAAAAATTATTCTTTAAAAAATCCACGCCTTTGGAGGATGACTCGAAAAATTATTCTTTAAAAAATCCACGCCTTTGGAGAAAAATTATTCTTTAAAAAATCCATGACTCGAAAAATTATTCTTTAAAAAATCCACGCCTTTGGAGTATGACTCGAAAAATTATTCTTTAAAAAATCCACGCCTTTGGAGTATGACTCGAAAAATTATTCTTTAAAAAATCCACGCCTTTGGAGTATGACTCGAAAAATTATTCTTTAAAAAATCCACGCCTTTGGAGGATGACTCGAAAAATTATTCTTTAAAAAATCCACGCCTTTGGAGGATGACTCGAAAAATTATTCTTTAAAAAATCCACGCCTTTGGAGGATGACTCGAAAAATTATTCTTTAAAAAATCCACGCCTTTGGAGGATGACTCGAAAAATTATTCTTTAAAAAATCCACGCCTTTGGAGGATGACTCGAAAAATTATTCTTTAAAAAATCCACGCCTTTGGAGGATGACTCGAAAAATTATTCTTTAAAAAATCCACGCCTTTGGAGGATGACTCGAAAAATTATTCTTTAAAAAATCCACGCCTTTGGAGGATGACTCGAAAAATTATTCTTTAAAAAATCCACGCCTTTGGAGGATGACTCGAAAAATTATTCTTTAAAAAATGCCTTATATTATGACTCGAAAAATTAATCTTTAAAAAATCCACGCCTTTGGAGGATGACTCGAAAAATTATTCTTTAAAAAATCCACGCCTTTGGAGGATGACTCGAAAAATTATTCTTTAAAAAATCCACGCCTTTGGAGGATGACTCGAAAAATTATTCTTTAAAAAATCCACGCCTTTGGAGTATGACTCGAAAAATTATTCTTTAAAAAATCCACGCCCATGATGGTCCTCGAGAAATTATTCTTTAAAAAATCCACGCCTTTGGAGGATGACTCGAAAAATTATTCTTTAAAAAATCCACGCCTTTGGAGGATGACTCGAAAAATTATTCTTTAAAAAATCCACGCCTTTGGAGGATGACTCGAAAAATTATTCTTTAAAAAATCCACGCCTTTGGAGGATGACTCGAAAAATTATTCTTTAAAACATCCACGCCTTTGGAGGATGACTCGAAAAATTATTCTTTAAAAAATCCACGCCTTTGGAGATTGCTTCGAAAAATTATTCTTTAAAAAATCCACGCCTTTGGAGGATGACTCGAAAAATTATTCTTTAAAAAATCTACGCCTTTGGAGGATGACTCGAAAAATTATTCTTTAAAAAATCTACGCCTTTGGAGGATGACTCGAAAAATTATTCTTTAAAAAATCTACGCCTTTGGAGGATGACTCAAAAAATTATTCTTTAAAAAATCCACGAAGCTTGAAAAAATTTCTATAAAAAATTAGGCTCCATTGGATGCTCGAAAAAAATCTTTAAGAAGTCCCAGCTTCGGATGCTTTGAAAAATATTCAATACACCACGCCTTCTTAGGAACCTTGAAAAAATCGTTAAAAAAATGGGGCTTCAGTGGATGCTGAAAAAAATGCTTTAAAAAAACTTTAAAAAATTGGGATTTGAATTTTAAGAAAATCCACGCTTGAAAAAATCTTTGCTTCAGTGGATGCTCAAAAAAATTGTCTTTAAAAAGTCCCCGCTTAGGATGCTTAAAAATATAAAATACCATGCCTTCTGAGGGTGCTTAAAAAAACCTTTAAAAAATCGGGACTTCTGTGGATGCTCGAAAAAAATATTCTTTTAAAAGTTCACGCCTTAGGTGGATGCTTAAAATATCCAGTCCTTCGGTGGATGCTTAAAAATGAAGCCTAAAAAAATATGGTTTTAAAATTCGGTGGATGCTTAAAAAATATTCTGTAAACATTCTTCGAAAAACTACGCCTTTGGAGGATCCTTGGCTTTAAAGCTTCAGCGGAAACCTTGACAAAAAATCTTATAAAAACAGGATCCTTGAAAAAAATTCTTTAAAAAATCCACGGCTTGAAAAAATATTCTTAAAAAAACACGGCCTTCAGGGTACACTTGAAAACAAATTCTTTCAGAAATTTGGCCTTCGGTGGATGTTTGAAAAATATTAATCCAAATATCCATAGGTGTGTTATCGCAAAAACTTCCTTTAAAAAAATCTAAGCCTTAGGTGGATGCTTGAAAATATTCCGTTCCATATGCTAAAGTTCATTTTAGACGCTTCTGTAGACAGAAAGCTTATTATGGTCCTCTATCGAGAAAAGACCCGTTACAGGACTTCTTACAAGTTTACTACAGACATGAGAGCTTTTACAATTTTATCGATAGAATACCTTTTCAGATCTTAGAATTAAAGACCTATATTTACACCCTTTAAAAGGCTTTCAGTTTATGGCATCCTTTTCAAAACCGCATAAAAAATAATACTTACGACATATTTCCAAATTTCTCCAACCATGTTCCAGCTTAATACCCTTAAAGGTACATTCCTTGGCCAGCATCGACAAAGCATCACAATTACATGTTTCCGGATGGGCTTGATTGGGACAATTGCAGTAATCATCCACGCATGTCCTCATTACCGCCTCGAAGTTGAAAGGCTTGATGCATTCACTCAGCTTTTCATTGGTCAACAAACGTTCACAAACTTCAATGGCCTTCTTCCGCTTGCTGGGACTACAATTTTTCGAATCAAATTCTATTTCCGCACTATTTTCCATGGTGCACAATTCCGAAGTATCTTCAACACGCCATGAATCGGTAAATGATTTAACGGTGGCAGCAACTTTACCCATTTTTGTCATCAGGTCATTTTTATAGTCACCATCCAAGGAACCACAGAGGCCACCAACACGACCCCACAATGCCGGACTGGCATGGATACCCACATATTGATGACGATCCCAATCGATTTTCAAACCAACCGATTCTAAATCGATTTGTAAATGTTGAGCCACTGGAATGACTTTCATGCCCATTACCTGTACCGGTATGGGGAGGCGTTTTGTGGGTGTCTCCATGACAATTGTGCCGTCTAGAGGAAATAAAAGAAAATAAATTTTAATGTGAAAATTCAAATTTCAATATTTCTAAAAACCTACTTTGATTCTTAAAGGTATACAAAATGGATTGCCAGTAGACCACCAATGTGTGAGAGCAGCCATAACCCGAACCATAGGGACAACCCTTGAGGGTAACATCAAAGGTGGCATCTTGTTTGTCATTGATGAGAGTGTGAGAACAGGATAAGGGAGCCCTAAGAGTTTAAATTTTTAATGAAGGGGTTCGAAGTTTTTTTGAAGAGTGTCCTGTACTTACTTGAATACCAAACCATCGAAGGTCTTCATGTTGATACCACCCCAGGTGGTACAGAATGCTGGCTTGGGTGTACGATCCAACATTACATTGACATCAATGGTTTCATACAACGAATAGCTGCTGGGTATTACATTGGTTTCCTCTGAGGACCACCATTCCTGGAATGAGAGGGTATTTATATACGTATTTCATTTCATACTCCCTACATCTTGAGTGTAGAAATTATTTAAGTTCTGGATTTTTACTTACACTCCTCATATCATATTCCTTGTATTTGGCAACAATTGCCAAAATCTTCTCACGTTCGGTCATATATTGATAACCAAAGCTGCCGCCACCACTGCTGCCAGCTCCCATATACGATTGTTGTTGAGTGTAATGTGATGTTTTCGAACCGGCATGAATGGTATAACCCTTGGCTGTAATTTAAATTAAAAAGTATTTTTTTTAATTCATTCTTAACTTTTAAATTCAAAAAAATTCTACTTACGATAGATGCACTTGGGCAAGGGTTGAGGATAGAATACACCCTCATCATATTTGCATTTATATTCAACATCCAAACGACCACCCTCTACCTTCAGGCCAGGAACTTCGGGACACATAAAGGTACACTTGGCCACTTCATTGTCATAGGCACATTTGTAGTTGCCATTGAAATTGGTTTTGGTAACATTACAGGCGCCAATGCTAAACTGGCAATGGTCACCGCGATAATTTTTGGCACACTGGCAGACATTGAAGGAAATACAACGGCCACCATTCGAACAGGGAGGATCACAAATTGCTACATTAAAGCGGAAATTCGAATTTAAAGGCGTGATTTACACAAAATTAATTTCCCAACTTACGTCCACAATCTGGGGGCTTGACCATGCCGGTTTTCTTGTGAATCCACTGATCATTGATACACTCAATATTGGTAATCGAGCTGCCATCGGGAAATTGGAAACCACGGAAGCACTCAGCATTACAAATACTAGAATAAACCACACACATACCCACATTAATAAATCATGTGCCACCCCGTACTTTGTTACAGAATTCTTACCCATTCATACAGCTAACTTTGGAATTTTTGGGCACGGGCACCTTGGCAGCACATACCGATTTCTTATTCTGACACAATGGTCCGGAATAATTTTCTGGACACTTACAAATACCAGCCTCAATACAGATACCATTATTTTGACACGGTGGATTACACGTGGCCTGGCATGGCGGTACACTAACATATTCCGAATCACGTATTATCCATGAATCACCAATGCAGACCATTTTCAAACTAGTTTTACCATTGGGGAAGGTATAGAATGATGGACACGATACCTCACATTGATCATTGCGACACTTATGCATTACATTGGCCGGTAGGGTATAGGCCATACACCTGCCATATTTGGGCAGCTGGAGAACACGTTCAGCATTGAGGAATGAACTGGTCTTTACACTGCTGCTGGGAGGAATACGAAGAAGTTGGAGGAGATTTTCAGTAATTGTTATAGTATTTGAAGGGTGTTGAGAATTTCGTAAAGTTATTTAATAATATAAATGGCCAAATTATTTTTTGTTATTGTAATTTAGAATTTGGAAAACATCAATAAAATTGTTAGATTATCTACGACGCGGATTTTGTAATTCAATTTCAGTTTTTTTGCAAACAATAAATAACATATCTTCGTCTATCGTTACAAGGGCAACCATATATATTTCTGGCCTACACACTACTAAGTTTTTCCTGGAGTCATCTGCCTGGATAAACGTCTCAGAACGGTTTTACATACGACAATGTGTTGTGTTGATAAAGCCCTAAAGTCCCTCCACAAGAACATTGATGACGTGCGAGAAGGGTTAATGTAAGATCGTCGTGTGATATACAGAGATATAGAGGCATCATTGGCCATTTATTCCACCAGCATACATTCGATGTTCCATAGACATCGGGTCGTAAAAAATATTTGTTCTCTCTGAAACAATTTTACAATCGCTCGAAAAGGCTCCTGTCGAATGGTGCAGACCATATTCAGATGATACAATAGCGGTGCATCAAACTACGTTTATAAGATCGTGACAATTGACGAATTACGGGTCTACAGGTATGAGACCGAAACATGGTACTGTGACGAACGCGTGAATCTTCGTAGACGAGACAAATCCAACTATAGTAGCTGGCCGCAGAATGGAAGACGAGTCATTGAACATTAATGACTTCTTTTAACGTCCGAATATAAGGGAACACATTTGTGGTCAACCAGTTTTTTTTATAGTACCAGGGTTGGGTCAAATCGGATTTTTAATTAGCTTAATATGAAATTTACGAATTTTAAAAATGTTGATCTTATGTAGGAGAGGTTCCAAAATAAATGGACTGTTAGGCCTCATACTCAGGCATGATTTAGGTTTGGTAAACTGTGTGTAATTTTTTGATCAAATCGAAATCTTCGTTCGCATTATTTTGACAATTTTTTGGGGGGAGGTACCAGAATGAATGGACCTATATTCCCTACTTTTGATTTTTGTTTGTTAGAAATACTAAAAAGTATTTCTTAAAAAAAGTTTTATGAAATTATCTACTCCGTTGGAGAGTTTACGTGCACACCCACCAGACACGGAAGGACAATTTATCCAAAGACATTTTGATGATGCACGTTTTCGTGGAAGAAAATGTATATAACTATATAAAATTTCGTTTAAAAAATGAGACACATTTTTGTGGTAACAAAATGTAAATCGAATCGGAAGAAAATGTATATAGAAGCTATATCTAAATAAGAATCGGTTTAAAAAAAATATTACTCCGAATTGTAGGCTCTCTAAGATACCGCTTGAAAAAAGTCATTGTTATCGGAAATTTTTTGATAACATGGTACACCATTTCGAGTAATATAAATCTGAACCTATACCTATCTATATCTGATACGATTTCAATGTAACTTTACACACTATATCCTAGACTCAATTCCATATGTCAGCAGAATTTTGTCTCAATATGACAATACTTGAGAGTTTGGTGCACCATTTAAATAAAATCGGACGAAAATATATGTAGAAGATATATCTAAATCCAAGCAGATTTTCTAGGGTTCTTGGGCCAAATAGGTAGGCTGTGACAAATTTCATCTCATTCGGATCATAAATGCGACTTAAATTACAATTAAACAAGGACAGGCATACGGACGGACATTCATAAATCGACTCAGAAAGTTATTATACGCATATCCTCAAAAAAAACCATTGGTCTATCTCTATTTTTCCTGTTATATATATATGCTCAAAGACATAATATCATGTACCACAGTGTGTTGAAGAGTATAAAAAGGACATTAGTCCCCATAATCCTTATCCAAAGAGATTTCTTAACAAATACGAATTTAAAATACCACATTACGGTGAATTCGGGTGAAAAACGCTACCAAAGCCCACAAAATACCTAAAATTTTGAGGTACCGCTATATTGGACCAATTTGCGGAAATATTTGTTACCCGATTAAAAAATAAAATACCAAATGACAACCAATTTGGTAGAAAATCTTATCCAAAATCCTCAAGATCCACATATTTTGGGGGTACCATAGGGCCCACCCAAAAAAGTGAACCTTTAGAGAAAATTTTTAGTATGGAGATTTGGTACCCGATAAGAACACAAAATGCCATGTTATAGAAAATTCTGTTGAAAAACTCACTCAAAACCGAAATTTCAGATGCACTTTTGTATGGGGACTACAGGAAAAATGTACCCATTTTGATCATTTTTTGTGGAGAGATTTGGTACCCGATAATAATCCAAGATGCCAAATTATAGGGAATTTCGTCCAAAAACTCCTTCAAAACCCCAAATTACTGACAGTTGGGGGGTACCCTTATATGAGAGCTAAGCGTAAAAGTGACCCGTTGTATCCCATGCAGACAATAGACGATTCTATGCTAAATTTTGGCAATCTGTCTCAATTCGTTAAGAGGCTAGAGAGATTACAACAGACAGACGGTTATGTCCACATCGTCTTAAAATGTTACGCTGATCAAGCATATACTTTATAGGGTCGGAAATGATTAATTCGATAAGTTATAAACGGAAAAACAATCTTAACATACACTCCATACTATGGTGGATTTGGAAACCGAGAATGAGAGGCTGTGGTTATAATAATATTTTTTCTAAGAATAAGAAAAATATAAGACACAACAGGTGGGAATATGTGTTAAAAACTGGCCGACCTTTATATACGTTGGGAATATATTTTTTACCTATCAAGAACACAAAATGTCAACTTACAGTACGATGCGATTGAAAATGCATTTAGGAAAATGCGGCTTAATTCTGCGAAATACCAAATGAGGCGGGAATTTTGAATGTTTGGTTTGTTGCTGTATACTAGCAGCACCAACAAAGTCATTGTGTGCATTCGTCGCGATGTAACAACACCCAACAGTGGGAAAGGTATGGTATTGTTTGTAAATGCCTTGTTAACCTCGAAGTGAGGCACCATCGAAATTATCATGCAGTTTATTTCGTTGATCAGCTAAGTACTTCGCTTTGTTACAAGAGACATTTGGGTATGAAAGTTTTTTTGTACAGAAGCAATAAACAGCTTCTGGGGAGAATATCCCAACAAAAATCTAAGGGAACTGATGAGTATCAGTGGCGTGATCCGAAACTATAGTCTTCCCTGCCTTACCCCTCGGCAAACAATACCATACATTCCACTAATAAACAGTTGTTTTTTTATAAAAACAACAACCTGCAAAAACGAAATACAAATGGTATCCCAAATAAACCACCAACACTATTAAAGCCAAATTTTAGCTACTTCGGTGATAATATGCGAATAAACCATTATAATAGCGGGCGAAGTTTTTATATGGCGGTTATGTCAAACCATGTATATATAACCAGGAATGCCAAATTACATATATTTGGTTGGAAAATGCAACTATAATCTTCAAAATACTGAAAATAGGGCGGAACCCGATTTTTTTAGTTTTTACGAGTCTTCAGACCAAGTCCAAATTTAATTTATTTTTAATTTCTAAAATTTTATTATTTTCAATTATAATTTTTTCAAACTGAATTACAAAATCAGCCACATTTTATAGGAAATATGTTCATTGTAAATTTACCCATGTTGATACATGTTGCTTTGCATGTTACTCGGCTGATAATGTCCATAATTGTAGCGTGTTTGACTACTACCATATTGAGAATTATGATTATGTGGGCGACTAAGGAGAATTTTTATTTTAATAAACAAATATATAATGTAAATTAAATAATTAATAAATTCTATTTTGAACGGTAATTTTGAATTTCATAACATCCCGAACATTTATTTTATAAAAAATATATTATTTTTAATTTACCCATGTTGATACATGTTGCAACTTTGACAAATTGAATTTAATTCGCATGATAATGTCCATAATTGTAGCGTGATTAAAGACTAGCCCAATACCATATTGCGAATTATGATTATGATTATGAGGTTCTTCTCCTGGAGAATTTTTATTTTAAACAAATATATATTGTAAATTAAATAATTAATAAATTATATTTCAAATGATAATTTTGAATTTTATAACAAAATTCAAATAACAAAAAATATATTATAATTTAAATAAATTATAAATTCTATTTTAAATTGCAAATTTTTAATTTCATAACACTCTGCAATAATAGGATATTTTTATGTGGACTACAAGCCCTTAATAGGGTTGTGTTACATATATTTTCAGATTTTTTTCTTGCATTTGCGGATTTAAAACATATTGCTCAGTGATATATATGGCCAAATATTATAAACAGTCGAACTTCATTGTAATGAACTTCTTAACAATAAATAATTCTCTATAAGGAATATTTTATCCTTAATGAATATTTTATAATACGTTAAGTGAAGTTCAACTTTAAACGTATTAAAAAAAAACAGTAGGAAAAGTAGTAAAGTCGGACTGGGCCGACTGTATTTATTCACCACTTTGGGTATATTGTACATATGTATCCTTATACTTGCAATGTCAATGTTCCTTCGAAGGAACGTACCCATGTCTCTCTGCAACCTGTGGTAAATTTAATTTCATTCCGGAAGATTTAGAGTCGTCTGCGTACCATGGGACAAATTTATGGAAAACGAGTTATAGCAAAATTGATACACGCTATTCGATACGCCGCACCGTTAAAAATTTAATTTCAATCAGACACCCGTTCAAATTACATATGGAAGCTATGGCTGCATCCGCACCAATTTCAATGAAACGCAATAACGTCATTCTAGTCCCAATTTGATACGTTGTGCAAAATTTCGTGTTAATCGGACAAACATTAGGTGTTTGGTGTACCATTTATGAAAAATCGGACGAATATATATGTATATGTGGGAGCTATATCGAAATCTGAAACGATTTTTCCGAAACTTAACACACATCATTCTAGAATCAATTCAGTACGCTATGACCAATTTTTGTGCAAATCGAAGGATATGTAAGAACTTTGGTGCACGATTTACATAAAATCGGACGAAAATATATATGGGAGCTATATCTAAATCTGAACCGATTTTCATGTATCATAACACTAATCGTTCTAGACTTAAATCTGTGCGCTATGCTCAATTTCGTGCAAATCGAATGTTATATAGGGACTTTGGTGCACCATTTTCATAAAATCGGACGAACATATATATGGGAGCTATACCTAAATTTGAACCGATTTTCCCGAAATTCAGCACTTATCATTTTGGACTCAATTCATTACGCTATGCCAAATTTCTTGCAAATCGAAGGATATAAAGGGACTTTGGCACACCATTTACTTAAAATCGGACGAAACTATATGGGAGCTATATCGAAATCTGAACCGATTTTTCTGAATCATAACACACATCATTCTAGAATCAATTCAGTACGCTATGCCAAATTTCGTGCAAATTGAAGGATATGTATAGCCACTTTGGTGCACCATTTACCTTAAATCGGACGAAAATATATATGGGAGTTATATCTAAATCTGAACCGATTTTCAGGAAACTTAACACACATCATTCTAGACCTAATTCATTACGCTAAGCCAAATTTCGTGCAAATTGAAGGATATGTATAGCCACTTTGGTGCACCATTTACCTTAAATCGGACGAAACTATATATGGGAGCTATATCTAAATCTGAACCGATTTTCAGAAAACTTAACACACATCATTCTAGACCTGATTCATTACGCTATGCCAAATTTCGTGCAAATCGAAGGATATGTAAGAACTTTGGTAAAAAAATCGGACGAAAATATATATGGGAGCTATATCTAAATCTGAACCGATTTTTCCCAATTTCAATAGGGTACGTCCTTGGGCCAAATAAATGAGCTGTGCCAAATTTCATACAATTCGAATCAAAATTGCGACCTGTACTTTGTTTCAAAAATTTAACATGGACAGACGGACGGACAGACGGACATGCATAAATCGACTCAGAAAGTGATTCTATGCATATTTTCAAAAGCAACCATGAGTCTACCTCGATTATTTTTGCCTGTTACAAACATATGCACAAAGACGTAATACCCTAAGTGGTGAAGGGTATAATCATTCTAAAATTGTATCTCACTTACGTTTTATAACCATAACCGGTATTACCACCATAACCAGAACTACTAACACTGCCACCACCGACACCACCTCCCAGGCTCAATGACAATTCTGGTAATAGTTCACTTAGGCCATAGGTACCATAGCTGCTGGCACTACCGCCGCCGCCACCAGTGCTACCGCCATATGAGCTGCTGTAAGAAGCCTTATAGCCATAGCCCCTACAAATATCGTAAAAAATATTTAATTATTTGAAATAAGGTCATATGTTGGATTCCTTACGTATTGACAGGTGGTGATGCTACAGGTGCCTTTTCCTTTTTGAAAACATCAAAGATGCCACGTTCGTCACGCTCTTTATCGTGGGCTTCTTGTAGGACTCCAAGTGGGCTGAAAATAGTGAAACATAAAAAATATGTTTTAAGAGAATTCTTTTGGATTTGAAATATATATTAGACAACAATGGTCTATAAAGCTCTCACTTAACCTTACAAAGAAGTTCTGGTTATTTTTTCAGTTTATATCACATGCCCTACGGAAGATTTCATGCTAAATAGATCTAATATAAAAACACTATCTTAATTTTGGGACCTCTTCTTTATCGTCTTCATCGAGCTGAGTATAGTACAACCCCACTTATAGCAGCCTAATATAGGAGCAATATAGTCATCATCTGCAGATTCCAGCCATGATCCTTGGATTACATAAAGTTTATACTAGCCAGTGTACCACTATGATCATAAATGAAAATATCCTTCATTTGTTCATCTCCATATATTTTTTTAACTCTATTAATAAAACGTAATTTTCCTCATAAATTTTTATCTTAATTAATTATTAATAACTATAATTACGCTTTCGAATTGCAATTCTATGAAATTCAATGTCATCGAACAACGTTTTGTTTTTATGAATGAATTTTTTATCACAAAACAAAAATATTTTTGAGCTTGAACTACATTTTAATTTGCATGTGACGACGATAAGAACAGTAAATAAAGCAAGATTTCATTTTTTGAAACGTAAGGTCAGTTTATCACAAAACGTACTTCCTATGGATCGTGTAGGCTTTTGAGATGTTGTTATTGTTTTCATTTTATTTATATAAATTATATAATCAATTATTAAGAATAACGTTGTTAAAGTTACATCAGTACTGATCCACTTTAAATATATACAATTTATATGATGTGCAGACAGAGCGAACTTGTGATGCCCTCCACCATAGGTAGAGGATATTACAAGTAAGGCAAACAATGTTTTCAAATGATGTATTGATATATTGGAAATAACTATGTGCTAAAAGTGGACCTATGTACCGTAATCCTCAAAGCACAAGAAATATAAATTTCAGCACTTTTTAATGGGTTTTTCTTCATAAAATCTGAAAAACCCCATAAATGTAGACCCATATTTATAACGCGTGGTACGCTGGAACATGTGCAGAAAATCCTCAAAATGCTGCAATTTATAGGACGTAATTTGTATGAGGTTATACCTAATGATGGAATAATATAGATTACCTCTGGTAGTAATTACCGAAAATCAGGGTATATTATTACATGGGGTCTATGCTTAAATGAGGATCGATATATCTCAACATTGTAGTATATAAACGCATAACTTCAATTACAGACTAATCCCCATAATATGGTGGAATGCGAACGGGTCCTCTATATATAACACCTTTCAACACTATAGGAATATAAAAGAGATGCTCCTATGATTTTTAGTGTAACGATTTTGGTCCTTTTGATATAATAGACGTATAATTATTGTGGGGCAATTGACACGAAATCGGACGAATTTAAATTCGATCAATCCATGCACATATCATTCACACCATTGGTATGAAATCGAAAATATATATATGAGAACTATATGTGCCAAATCATAAAATCGGAAGCTATATTTATATCTGAAATACATGGGAGCTATATCTTAATATGATTTAAAATTTTTTTTTTAAATTTTAATATGATTAACTATTTAAAAATTTCGTCTCAATCGACATAACATTGGGTATCAGTTGCATCATTTCATGAAATTGAACGAAATATATATAAAAAATATATCTAAGTATAAATGGGTTTGACCGAAATTTAATATATTGCATTATAACCTCACCTCGGACAATTTTTGATACACCATCTAGAAGAAATCGGACGAACGTATACATTGGAGCTATATCGAAATTTGAATCAATTTCAACGAAAGTTAACACACATTATTATAGACACAATTCAATAGAATTTCCATCTGCGAAGACTTGGCCAAACGGAATGAGATATATGCATTTATTAAACGGATGATGATTGAAGATGAGAATTGGATCACATACGATAACCCGGAGTGAAAACGATCGCGGTCAAAGAGTGGTGAAGCACCTCAAACGGTGGCCAAACCAGGACTAACGGCCAGTAAGGTTCTGCTATGCATTTGGTGGGACTTGAAGGGGATTATTTATTATGAGTTGCTTCCATATGGCCAAACGCTAAATTCTGATTTCTACTGTCAACAACTGGACCGATTGAAGATAGCAATTGACCAGAATAGGCCAAGAGGAGAGGTGTCGTGTTCCACCAGGACTACTCTAGGCCACACACATCTACAGTGACTCGCAAGAAACTTCAGGAGATTGGTTGGGAAGTTTGAATGCATCCGCCATACAGTCCGGACTTGGCACCAAGCGATTATCACATTTTTCTTGCATTGCCAAATTTTTCGTTAATGATAAACCAGTAAGGAAGGTAATAAAGTCGGACGGGACCGACTATATGATACCCTTCACCACTTTGGGTATATACAACAGATGAATCCTAACAGACGTCGCACTTTTAATCAATCCATTTAATGACATTGGATCCATAAACATGTCATTCTGCAACTTATACTAAATTTTTCATTTGGTCAGATATAGCAGCTATATAAAAATCTGAACCAATCTCAACGGTTTTTAGGGAACTTCTAGACCTAATTAATTATGCTGTGTCAAATTTCGGGCAAATCGAAAGATATTAAGGGACTTTGGTGCACCATTTACATTAAATCGGACGAAAATATATATGGGAGCTAAATCTAAATCTGAACCGATTTTCCCAATTTCAATAGGGTTCGTCCTTGGGCCAAATAAGTGACATATACCAAAGTTCATGCAATTCGGATCATAAATGCGACCTGTACTTTGTTCACAAAAATACATGAACGGACGGACATGCGTAAATCGACTCAGAAAGGGATTCTATGCATATTCTCAAAAGGAGCCATGTGTTTATCTCGTTTCCTTTTGTCTGTTACAAACATATGCACAAAGACATAATACCCTTTACCACAGTGTGGTAAGGGGTATAAAAATTGGTATCTAGGGAGAATTGTGAAAATCTACTACTAGAGTTTGTTGCATAAAGACATAATACCGTGTACCACAGCGTGGTTAAACAATGAGCTCAAGAACCCCAAAATACCGAAAAAATGGGTGTCCAATATATGAGGGCTATGCCTAAACGTGGACCGATATAGCTATTATCGAAATTGACCTCATTGTAGACAAGAGACGTCCAGGACAAGATATTTTTAGAGTTTACCCTGAGAGTCGATCCATCAATATAGTTATTTCCCTAAATAAATGATCAAACACATTTTCTAGAAAAATATTTCAATCATGATGTAATTTAAGCATAACTTTATATAACCTGTCCAATGAAGTTCGCTTTCTAAATACCTAAAATATGTCAGGCTCCTTAAATAGAATATATCAAAACATGGACCTCTATTGTAAATTATTTGCCAGGATGTTTGCTATCCACTGAGAAAGTGAAAGTGCCCAAAGACACATACGTTGGAAATTGCACGCGGGATATTACGGAAATTAAGTGAGCCATTGAATTCAAAATTGGAATTTTTCCCGAAGACATTTTTTATTCAACGGGAACTCTGAATGCCAAATCTGTTGGAAAATTTATCTAAAACCTAAAAATATCGAAATTAGGTCGAAAAAAAGTGATGTATCTCATTTTCAATATCAACGTATGGGCAAATTTTCAAAGCTCGAACTTAAATATTACAATTTCTATAGTAATTTCAACAGAAGGACATCCAGACGTAAATTGGTATATCGAATTTAATACACCACTACTCCAAAAAGTAGCTATATTTGAAATTGAACTATTATTTATTGCTTTATGTTAATAATTATTAGCGATCCTTGGGTTCTAATATGTTCACTATAAAATATTTCACTCAAGTAGATCCAAAAGCTGCAAGCCTTCACTATATATTTTTAAGTTCAATACTAGACACTATTTCAAAATATAAATATATTTAATTCGAAATTTAACTATAATACGAATTAAGCAAGCACTTGAAACTGAAGGATTAAAAACTATACAACAAAATAAAAATTTCCACTCACTTTATATCCTCCGTATCAACAACATCACCATCATCAATATTGGCCGTAACCGAACCAAATAATATTAACACACCAACATATAAATATAGTTTCGCCATTTTTCAGGCAATTATCCTTGTTGTGTTTTTTATTCACACTCAACACTCAGAAATTTTTTTTATTGTTTTAATTTCAAAATTAACACAAAATTTAAAAATTGTATTTCATTATTGTTTTTCTAGCTACACTTTAAGTTATTAAAATATTTATTTTAATAACATTTTCTTATGGTTCACAGGACACCAAAGTAATTTTTTCAGGACTTTGAAAATTATCCTTTTTAAATTGTTTTATTCAGTACTTCACAATAAAATTTGAATATTTAATTCACAACCGCTTTGTGTACGGAACAACGTTACTAACGAACGGTTTAATCCGCACTGTGATTTTTTAATCTCACCGTGGAGTCTTTTATAGCTGGTGTACTCTTGAAAATCGTTATCACAAAGTCGCTCGGTTTCTCAATGCATTTGAACAGTGTTTTTGTGCGCCAGTGGTTTTAATTTCAGAATGAAACATGCCGTGCCTATTCCATACATCCATTCAATACAACAACAAATATTTAAATTGTGGATATTATCAAAATATTGAGGAGAATACTCAAATTTACAATACTTAAAGAAATATGTGAATTGAAAAAGAATTGGATGCATTGAAGTCATAAAACGATCGATTTCTCCTTTCTGAATTGAAAATTAAGTAGACTTCAAGTAGACTGTCAAGGGAAAAGGCGTTAAGTTAGGCCGGGCTGGGCTTCTTACACCCTACCACCCTACTACCAGTTACTTAAAATTACGTTTCCAACACCATGTGGATGATTTTGAGAAATAGAAAACAGCGGGATCTTTACAAAGAGGCCGACAAAGTTTTACAAAAATATCTATAACCCACGTCCACTGACGTATGTATCTTCCGACAATTTTTCTAGCCGCCAACTCAAATCAATGCAACTATAATTTGACATTCCAGTTGCATGGGGGGTGAAAAAATTTCTATACAAATATTCTAAGTAGGTCAATGTTTTGACACAGGTTCCATAAAAAGTCCATATCATGAGGTATGAATACTCACCTTATGGTAGAGGATATAAAAAATTAAAACGCGGCTTTGTCAGCCGATTGAAAATCTTAAAATTTCAAATTGAGAATGGAGAAAGTCCCCTTAAAATAATCATAATTTTTTATGAAATATTTTTGTTAAAAATCCACGACCTCGAAAACCTTGAGGCATTTGTCCTTTAAAAAATACATGCTTACAGAGAAGCATACATCGCTTGATACTGACACAATAAATCGGCTATATTTTCAGATTGTTTTGTTTAGATTTTCACTTGAACATTTTATAAGGGAATTAAAAAATTCCAATACGTAGATTTTTTAAAGAAAAAAAGTGAAAAAGCGTTAATTTCGGCCAGGCCGAACTTTGGATACCCTCCACCATAGATATACTGACAGGTACTAGAAATGAAAATATAGGGAACATACCAAAAAGTGGACCTATACCGACATTTCTAAAAACGGATTATGTGAACCTTAATACAAATTTCAGAAATTTATTTAAAATTTATTTATAATGGATAATTATACCCTCATCATTATGGCTAATGAGGATGTATACACTTTAACACGGTGAAAATGTGCCTCAATGTGGTTCTAGACCCTATGTTTCTTTGGACCAAATCCGTTTTAGAAAATTTAGATTTCATCCTAACTTTGCCCATCTTATTATTTCTCCAAACTTAGTTCAAATTCGAAGATGGGGAAAATCGGTCCACTCCTTCTGGAACCTCCACACAGAGATTATGTCTAAATGCGGCTATAGTTCATTATCGAACCTTACGTTCTAATTTTTTTATCTCGCTATCCTCCGCAGATGAAATGGATACAACAGAATCTTAGAATCAAACTCAAAACGCGGAACAAATCAGATAACTACTTTAATATAAAAAATTCGGTTATATGGGGACTACCCCAAAAGGGGAGAATATTAAATTTTTTTGGTAGGGAGATTTGTTACCATATACGACTACAAAATACCAAATTGCAGAACCAAATATACCAAATTGCTCAAGAACCCCAAAATACCGAAAATTGGGGGTACCCTTATATGAGGGCTACCCGAAAAAATTGACCTATATTTAAAATTTTTTGTGGAGAGATTTGATACCCAATAAGAACTCAAAGTACTAAATTACAGCCAATTCGGTGAAAAAATGCGTTCAAATCCCCCCAAAACTGAAAATTGGGAGGTACTGTTATATGGGGGCTACCAGAAAAAGTGGACCTAAAATTATAATTTTTAGTTGAGAAATTTGGTATCTAAATTTCAGCGAATTCGGTTGAACGCGCTCAAGAACCCCAAAATATTGAAAATTTGGGGGAACCCTTATATGGGAGGTATGCCTAAACGTAGACCGATATAGCCCATCGTTCTATCTCAATTCGTTTAGACGCTAGAGTGATTACAG